GTAAGGGAATTTGGAGACCACCCTTTAAAGATCGACCCTACCTTTGTCAGTCTGCAAATAAAATGCATGCAGTTGTAATAAATATATTTGTAGTTTCTTTTGCATTCGTGTTGGCTTGCACGCCACTAAGAAACAATTTAAATTACAGAGGACGTTTCTTCCTGTGGGAACCTGATTGGAAGGGAAGGAGCTTTTTAGAAAGGTTTGCAAGAGGCAGCGTTCCTTCCCAAATGTATTGCAATTTAATAGCTCAAAAAGGCTACTCCTGAAACAATGAGGTGGTCAGAGCTCACCTGTGGGCAACACATCTGGATATCAGCCTCTGTAAAAGTTCTCCTCCATTTCCTAACCCACAAATAATGTGTTCAAGCCTCGAAAATGCGAAATAAATAGCAAAAGCTTTAATCCCCGCACACAGCCGCCATCCTCTACACTCAGCATCACTTCCATAAAACGACCAAACACACCTTTGGCTTTTGTGTTATTCATTTGGGGACAATGGCAAACACTGAATTCACAAGAAGTGCAACAGACACGTTTGCAGGAAAAGAACCGAATTAGAAGCAACTTGTTTTGGTTTAAGCCCCAAAACTTTGTCGATCTTTCCCATTCCTTTCCCGAGCACCAGGTGATTGCTCGCAGCTCCATCACCTCTGGACCACAGCCCCAGCACATCGCAAAGAGCCCTCACCATCATCACACAGTGTTCTGGCTCCATCTACCGACAGATCAAGGAATACACCTGCAGGAAGCCCTCAAGGTACATTCAGCAGCTCTCTCTGTGCCTGATGTCCACCATCGCAGTTCCCTGTTTTAATAATAATAATAATAATAATAATCCTTGCATTTGATATAGCGCTTTTCACGTCGGGAGGACGTCCCAAAGCGCTTCACAGAACACACTGTAAAGTGAATTGACTGTATATTTGTGGGCGAACGCGGCAGCCAATTGCGCACAGCAATGTCCCACAAACAGTCATGGATTGAAAATGACCAATTTATTATTGTTTTTGGTTTTGGAGGGATTATTATTAGGCTCTGTGTGGAGTAAGGAAACTTGCCCAAGGTTTCGCCCTCTGCCTGGAATTGAACTCAGGTCTCTCACTTGCAAAGCGAGTGCTCTAACCACTGAGCTACAGGACTCGATTCCTCTCTCTGTATTGTTGGATTGATCATATGGTCTCAGAAGAATCTCTTTCTTTCAAGAACAAATCCGATAGGTTTCTGTTAGGAAATAATATTTCATACGGTATATAGTTTGGGACCAGACAGGTGCAATGCAACTGCCAGGACGGTGGAAGGCGAATTGGATGGATCTTGGTCTTTTTTCACTTAGCGACTTATTATGTTCTAGATCTGGAAGTGCTGTTCTTTCACAGGCAACTCCTTAATCCGGGCAAGAATTTTACTTTGTTCCTTTTCTAAATGAGCATCGACACAGATGTTCCATCAGATGACTTTTTTTTTAAAATCGGTTCATTCCTAAAATTAATTGATTTGAAATAATCACTTGAGGATCAATTCCTTATCAATCTGATTCCAAACTAAGAACTAAAACATACGCTTATTGTTTTCTTCTTCATGTCATGACTTGGCAATCAACACCAGCAAAAAAATAATAATAGAAGTTTGAGTTAGTGCCTATAAAAATAATAAAAATCCTTGCATTTGATATTGCACCTTATTACACCATTGAGACATCGCAAAATGCTTCATAGAACATACAGCAAAGTGACTTGATTGTATGCAAAAACTCGATGCATCGGGCTGAAATGGGGACGAAAGAGGAGGGAAAAGACCAAATAACAATGAACTTACCTCAAATTTTACTGTTTAAAACTTTCCCATCAAATTAAATCCCAGGATTCAAACATGGGGTCTTAAGACGTTGACAATGATGTAATTACACTGCTATTCAGCTGGTAGCCTGGCTCGGTTGACAGCGATTTCACCTCAGCGACCCCATGTTGGAACTTTGGGTTGATAGTCCAGGCTGATATACCAATGCAATAATACTAATGATCCTTGCATTTGGAATAGTGCCTTATCACGTCTTTGAGATGTCTCAAAGCGCTTCACAGAATATACTGTAAAGTGACTTAACTGTATATTTTATGGGCAAATTGTGTGTGTGGGTGGGGGTGGGTGGGAGTTGTATTGTCAGAGGTGCTGTCCTTCAAATGAGGTGTAAAACCAAGGTCCCACCTGCCTGTTCAGGTGGGCTTATTGAAAAAGAGGATGTTTTATCCAAGTGAATGATCTTCCAGATAAATTAGGTATCTATGTCTTGGCTGTAAATTGGTGTTAGTCCAGATATAGTCAATACATTTAACAGTAATTGTGAAGTGCTGAGAGAGGTTTCAACATCAAATGCAAGTATTATTATTATAGGAATGCATGGTCTGGATTTGTATCTGTACTAAGCAAGACAGAAAGGGAACATTTTTATAGATGTTATCCTTTGTCGAGGTTTGTTGAAATGTAGTGCTGTAACAAATCATAGGAATTAATTCATTGGGAAACATAACAGACAAAGGTGTTGACTTATAAATTAGAGCAGGCATTCAAGTATAGCTCATCATTACATCAGTCAAGATGAGTCTGAGAGTGCGACAGGAGGGATTGAAGAAGAATCCACATTAGAAATTAAAAGGATTAAAGTATCTCTATTTTTAGAACATTTTACAAGAGAATGTAGATGTGTCTAAGTAATATAATAATCCTTGCATTTGATATAGTGCTTTTCACGTCTTCTAGACGTCTCAAAGCGCTTCACAGAATATACTGTAAAGTGAATTGACCGTATATTTGTGGGTGAAATTGCGCACAGCAGTGTCCCACAAACAGTTGTGGATTGAAAATGACCAATTTATTATTGTTTTGTTTTGGAGGGATTATTATTAGGCTCTGTGTGGAGTAAGGAAACTTTCCCAAGGTTTCGCCCTGCCTGGGTGGTTAAACCTAAAGTGGTTGTGCGTTCCAGATTACTGGCATGTGAATCCCTCTTTATTATCCAAACAGTAAAGAGCATTATATAAAACTAGTTATGTCATAGAAAGCTGAAAAGAAATGTAAAGTGCATCTTTCTGTTCTGTAGCATGCACCATCTCTTCAATATTGTATCCTGCTCTTATTCTCAATTTGCTTTCAGACAACCAGCACAAGCTGTAATTATGTTGAGAATTAGAGTATCTACTCGTGAAAGTAATTTGGTGGTCAGCTTGTTTTGTGAAATAAATTGTTATGGGAGATTAAAAGAAAAAGTCCAGTCTCTCTCAGTCACTGCACTGAGTATATGTCGAAAGTGCTGTAATATTCACATGTATAGAAAGTGCTTCACAAAAGGTCATAGATAATTTTTTNAGTTGCCAAGAAATAAATGGAAAATTGGATCTTTTAAAAAGGGATTGGTAAATTCTGGGAGTTAAGTGGTTTGGATATATTTGATTTGGAATTTAGTTGTTAGCCTGAAATAGTGCCAAATATGCAATACTGCAAACTTGTATTCATAAAAGCACCATTCTTCTTAGAGTGTCTGTCTCAATGCACCTAATGTCATTGGATTCAATATTTCAGTGTAATTTGTGATATTTGCAAACAGGATTCAAAACAATAACATCTAATAGAATTACCTCACATGCAGCTTATCACTGCTTCCTGATGTTTAATACATTGTCCAATATAATGCACACTTCTCAACCTCATTAGATTTAATGCTATTGATGCAGATTTATTTCCCGCATTTCTTCACACAAACTCAATATTAGCAGAGCAAATACCTACCATTACACCAGAGAGATTAAGATTGCATTCATAAACTTATTTTGGCCAGTTTGTAGCTTGTGTAACAAATATTAATTTGCACATCTATTATTTTGTTTCACAAAAAGAGACAGAGACAGAATACGACAAAGAGGAAAGTGTGGTAAATGCAAAGGCACTCCAGATCTGTCTGACAATGTTATTGCAACAAGAACTGATCGAGATTATTTAATTGTATCCTAAAGATCTTCATTTTTACTAAAGTAGACAGAAAGTTCCTTCCTTTAAAGATTCATTTATAGATACTTTTTAAATGAATTAAAAATATGTAAACGAATATGTTTATCCCCCAGACCTTCAACATTCCTGTCACACTACTGAATAATAGATAAAAATGTTGACTTGTTAATTATGGAAGATAAAGCAGACAATTAGATATTTATAGCTAATTATACACCAGTAAATTTAATTGAAAGCACACCAGGAAGGGATTGAAGAAGATTTCTATTATCATTGTAGATGCCTCAGGGAAATAAGACAAAGCTCTAAGTAACTTGGACCCAGATTAAAGCATACAATTCCTTGAGTTATGCCTTTGAAGCTGGAACAAGAAGGACAATGGCTTGAACCCACAATTCCCAAACTACAGGTTCCTGATTTCAACCCGACTATGTGCAGAAAGTCATGCAAAGTGGTTCAATCGTCTAAAAACACAGCAGACTTAAAAGCAGTTTTAATAAAGTGATGACTCGTTGTTGCAGGGATCTGACAATATTTATTGGTGAGGACCCAACTCCAATATTAAGACTTAACAACAATAATGTTTGTGTTTGTTTCTGACATATCCAAGAGTCAGAAAACACAGTATAAATATTAACATAAGTCAAAAAAGAAGACAAATAAAACTATCAATAAAACAAATTGTACTGAAACTGGTCTTTCAGCAATCTAAAATAGCAATCCAAATGACACAATTATACCTGACCAGCCCTGCTTACAACCCGACATAAGAAGGAAGGTCTGCCTAAAGATGTTATTTCAGCCCAGAACAATCAAATATCGCTGTGAAAGAACAGTACAAACATTAAGATTCATGATTATTGCCCAACCACCGAAAAAGCTCAAAACTCAATAGCCTTTCACCCTGCAAAGTCATAAAATATATTTCACCACTGTATTTAATAGATGGTATCAATTATATAGATATAGACATGTGATTACATTTAAAATCTCTGTTAGCACTTTCAATCAGCAATTTGGAAGTTTTTTTTAAACATTTGATAATACATGACTCGTGTTAAATTGTAACATCTCCAGGCTTTAACCTTTTGGTCAGGTTTTCATGATGCCCAACAATAGCAGGAAGTCTTCTAGGAAAATTGCACTGTGTAAGATGTATGTCATTTTTTAAAAAAATATTAAAAACATCCTGATTTGCTCTTAGAGGAGTGGAACAAAGAATGCCCGTCAGTCTTTAAAAATTCCAGAGTAACATGTAAACAGATTGTATGAATTCACTCTATGCAAACACTGTGTTGTTCACAGTTCTTCGTGACTTTGCCTGAAGGGCCATTGAGGATGCCCTGACACCTTCTCAGCAGCAGACAGGACAAGGCGCATAAATTCGTTCACGTCAAAAAAGTAGTTGGTAAACTTCGGATGCTCTCCGAGTGTAGGATGGTGTCCCTGGATAGAGAGAATTGGCAAATGATTAAATTACACCTCTCTGCCTTCTGCAAAGCAGTGTTTAGGGATACATGGAATGGAACTAATCTAACTACAGACAAGGAAATCATGCCGTCCTCATTGTCCGTCATAATAACATTCCTAATAATGGGGAAAAAAAGACACGGTTTCAAGGACACGCATGTCTTTTAAAAACTATTGCTCTGTCAGTTTCAAACTTACTATAACTTAAACTTGAACAATACGGTTTAGCCACAAACCTTATCCTGAGGCACAACTTTCTCTTTTTTCTCCCAAGTCATGTAGTGAATTCCTCGGAGTCGAGCCAGATCAAGATAGCAACGCTCATCTTCACAGTTATATCTACAAGGGACAACAAAGTTCATCACAGTGTTGAATACAGCACAGTGCTGTCTGTGTCCACACTGCTTGGGAAAGGAACCTGCAAAGTATCTCTTACTTACTCTGCAGGAGAAACAACTCCGTTCTATCAGAGTCAAGTTACATAAGGGAGAAATAAAAGAGGCTTAGACTATTTTTTTTTAAATCAATTGTCGCTGGTTTTGCACTGCTGTGAAGATATTGTTCCTCAGGGAAAGAGCTTGTGTATCATTTGAAGCCACATGCTTCATAATTGCTCTAACTTAAAATATACTCAACGTCTTCTACTTAAACCTTCAGTTTGCTCAGTGCAACTTGTCATGTTATCTCTAAGGCACTGTTATCAGGTGGCCCTAATCTACCATCAAATCGACAAATATATTGTACACTTTAAGCAGAATGCATCAGAATTCTGACAGACACACTGGAGTTGGCACAGCCAACCTATTGCTAGCATTATTCGCTTCAATGTAAGTATGAATCTCCCATTCTGTTCAATTTTATGCCTAGCCAAAAGAAAATAGTGCTACTCTATAACAGTACATAGAAATATTGGTTTGACATGCGTTAAAATTCTTCCACAGTATTTGAGATTTGTAAGGAAAAATGTAAGTACCTACAATTCAAAAATGACAGCCCAGTCAGGTAGAAAAACCAAGTGTGTGAGGCCAGCTCCGTGAATGGCAATAAAAATGTCAGAATTGTGCGTTACTTTCACTTGGTCTAAGAATTTAATGTCTCTGTAAAAAGATAAAAGACAGCAAAGTGAAGATTACACTCTTTACAATGGAATCTCAGAACAAATATAGAACTGAAAGCAACAACTCAAACCACGTGCATTGTTCTTTCCTCTCCAACTTCTTTGTACTTTGTAAGCAAATATCTCTGTCTCCCTAATGTTGGCGAGGCGGTAAAAGAAAATAAGCTCGGAAACGACTTTGGAATTTGGGAGGAAAATTGGGGATTCGGGGATATGTAAGATCGGGAAAGATAATATTTGTAAACAGAAACATTCAGATGAACTGTACAGGTCATCTCCAGCCTACGTGTTGCAATGCCTGAAGACATGAAGCAAGGATTAAGTTGCCAACACTATTTATTGCCACCGGGTGAAGTTAACACCAACTGTTGTCTCTTGTGAAAATGAGGACGTTTCAGAAGTTAATTTGAAAGATAATACACACTGTACAGCAAAATCTTCCCTATAGGTGTTTGCACATTACTTTAAATGCAATTTCCTATTTGGATTTTATTTGGTTTGAATATTTATAGAATATTTTCATTATAGACCAAGATATTGCAGGATGCAGGCTTGTGGAGAAGATTATTACAAAAGGAATGATAAATAGAGTGACATATTTAGTGTGAAATTGGACTAGGAAACCTCAGTTAAATGGAAGGAAAGATTAAGCATTGTATTCAATATGTTCTGATTTTAAAATTATTCAGAGTTCACGCCTTAAGGTAAAGAATTGCAAACACTTCTTTAGAAAGGCAATCAAGATGATCACCATCAGACAATTTTAAGCACCTGTTCTCAATGCAATTACAAATGATCAATACTCTCACTTTTTAACATTGATTTTGCTGAGTTCCCTTTGCTGTCCAGCTCAGATACCCCAGTTTGAAAATCATTATGGTACAAAGATTACAAGTTGACAAGGAAGTTTGAAAAGTACAAAACTTGAATGCCACACCTTGAACAGAAGTTTAAGTTCACTGTTAGGCTGAAATAAGCGCTCTGGGACACCCAGGAAGATTGTGCGGTTCGGATAGAATAGAGGAAATGGGGATTTAAAATAAAAATTTCAGGATAAATTGCGACCAGCACAGGCACAAATAATAATACGAATAATTAAAGGCTGGAATGGCTTTCTTTGGTGCTGTTTTTTCTATGATTCTATAATATTTTCCTAACATACAAAATATAACCACTAGGATTCACAGAATTCAGTACTTACTTATGATTGTAATCCACCATTTTGACATCAAATATAGATACTGTCTTCAGTGCATTCACCAGCTGAGGACAAAGTTAAAATATTTGCTATATGCTCAATAATTTAATTTTAATGAAGCTCTAATAAAATTCCCAAACCACTTAACCAAAAAAACCTTTCCATAATTTATAAGCAATAAAAGGTGTAATACAATATACCAGCTTCTGAAACTAAGACATGGGTATTTTATGTAAAAAAATACATTCATGCAATTTAGAACATAACAGAATGCTACAAATTCCCTAACCTCAGCCACAAGGTTGAAATGAATGCGTTTTTTAAAAAAATGCTAAATTGGATTAAGTTCAATAAAACAAAATTAATCATTGGTGTATATCTTAGAGGTTTTTGTATTACTCACCTCATCCTGGTTCAGGATTCTGCGATATTGAGTGCTGCGTACCAGGAGTGTAACACGAATTCTCCGATTCTTTACAAAACAAAAAACAATTACATTTGCTAAGAGGGATCGACATTTCCAGGTACTAAAACTTAATTCCTTAATGTACCAAATACTAACTCTTAATTCCTTAACTTACCGAATATTGAAACTTTAATTCTTTAGGTTAATCTAAAGAACTTCATTCAGAAAAGTATTTCAAATCATCAAATCAAATTTGCCCTTTTTAAATATGTATTCTTCACCCTGGAGCTTTGGGGAGTTCACGGTTATAATATAGAATAATAATCCTTGCATTTGATATAGTGCCTTATCGTGTCTTTGAGGCGTCTCAAAGCTCTTCACAGAATATACTGTAAAGTGAATTGACTATATTTTGTGGGCAAAATGTGGCAACCATTGCACACAGCAGTGTCCCACAAACAGTCATAGATTGAGTGACCAACTCAATTCAGTTATTATTATTATTTTGTTGAAGGAATTTTGAAGGAATAGTTGCAACAGATGGGAAAATATCACCATGTTGAGGCATTCCTCGCAGTTGGGTGGGTGACTGGCAGCAATGGCTGTTTATACATCTCAAGTGACATCTTTTCAGTGACTGTATGAGGACCATATCAATCAGAGCCAGAGGAAAACAGGCTTCTATGGTTCTCAAAAGAAGCTATGTTCCCAGGCAATCATTCAGTGCAGGAGGGTTGTCTAGCAGTGTTGTGCGAAGTGTAGGAGGTTCAGATCTCCCTCTGGTTTTAAAATGTGCAGACACTCAAGTTTTATTTGGCGTTTCTTGAACTGCCAGACAGAACATTCCAATATTGGCTGCAGACAAGGTCAAGTTCCTGTAGTCCCACAAGGATTTTCTGGGCCAATATGTGTCCTCTGATTTGGAATCATGGACCTTGTAGCCAGAGATCTATCTGAATTCCATTTCTTTATAACTGTTTGTGGGACGCTGCTGTGCGCAATTGGCTGCCGCGTTTCGCCCACAAAATAGACAGTTGATTAACTTTACAGTATATTTGATGCAGCATTTTGAGACGTCTCGAAGACGCGATAAGCACTATATCAAATGCAAATTATTATTCTATATTAATGGTACAGATTGTAGGTTGATCCTTCCATCAGCATTTAGCAACATTTTCTGTTCCAACCCTCCTGACCTGCAAATCACATGTAGTTGCTTTTAACCCTAGACCTGAAGACGTTCTATCTGGAGTTCAGGGTATCGGTGGGTTCGGAACATAGAGGAGGTGGGTTGGGAACATTACAATTACAACAGTCACCTGTGGACCATCCTGGGTAATGTTTAATCTGAAGGTGACGTGCTGGGAAAATGCTCTAAACAGTCCTGTGTTGGAGCAGTCAGGCACCTGTAATTTACAACCAAAGAAAAAGCATTAGCACATTGACTTTTATTTGTTAAAAACCTCCTACTAGTAAATATTGTTCAAACAGAGAGGTATTCAGAACGAGCCATGTTACATGTATACAAGATGCAAAGTGCATGAATGTTCATTTAACAACATTTAGGCCCGAGTCGCTCAAACTGTAAGCAGTATCAATAGCTACTATAAATCCCAGTGTCTAAGTCTTTATTGTGCCTCGCTATGCATATTCTTCTCTTATCAATTAAAAACAATCTGCTGGCCACCTTAAGCTGAATATCATCTCGCAGATTTTCAATAAAAGTTTGCATTTTGCAAAATGAGATTAAAAGAACAGTAAACGGAATTCACTTGTGGCTAATGAAACAGAAATCAATTGCTTTTGATACATGAAACAAACTTACCAAAGGGGTATTGTAAAATAATCCATAACGCATGCGTGGGAGTAATGAAAAGACTGCTTCCTTGAAGCATACCTATTTTAATATGCACAAGAGAAAACAAAAGATGTCCAAACAGAATTTGAAAAAAAATTGTATAAATTATAAAAATTCAATAGCATTAAAGTATTCAAAATGTTAAATACCCTTTTAAAATCAAATGTTTTTAAGTGTACGATTTCATGGTCAGTGAATGCTTTCCAGGTAGCACTAAATAAATCACCATATCCATAAGAACTCTGCAAGACAAAACCATGGAAAGAAATTAGATATCTATTGTGGGCATTGCAAAATATCAACAGATACAAACAGCAATGACCAGCTTTATGGCGGTGCATCACACATTGCCACAAATATACAAATGTGATCTGTCAATAGACAGCAGTGAGATAGCTGCAGTATCAGCAATGTCTTGTTCTGGCAAAGTTGTCAAAGCATTTTCTTAAACATTAGTCAGTTTGAAATAATTCAAAATGCAGCCTCACAATCAGAGGCAGTGGAAGATAACAGCAGAGGTCATATGAAAGTCAGCAGGTTTAATGAAAGTGAAGTAGCTTTTGAAAAACATAGCTTTCTTGAATCAATTTACAAAGAATCAGTGGGGTTTTAACATATTCCTTCAATGATTCGATCAGCTAGCCGACCATGATCAAAGAAACAAGTTGCTCAAATCAACTTCAAGTATAGGATCTAACCACAGACATTGAAAAATAATCTAATTTTCAAGGAGCGTTCAGAAGGATTTTCACAAAGTAAAATATGGACCGTGTCTGTGTGATCCAAAAGGAGCTCTTACACTGTGAATCATAGCAGGTTGTAACAAATTTCATAGCTACCAGAGTGGAAGCACAATGCTGTGACACAACAGAGTAAGCAACAGCACACAAGGTGGATGTGAAAACAATTGAGACACTCATTAAGTCTGGAATCAGTGATCACTTTACCAGCAGCTCGCTTTCATCTCTCAACAAGTTTCTTTGTAAATAAGTCATTTTGAAACAATCTGAAATGTTGTTTGAAGAGCAAAGGAACAATAATCTAAGAAATGCACTGCGTTTGAGATAACAGCAGTGGGCATAATAATAAAGTTAACAACAGTAATGAATTTGGAATGGATTCTGAAAAGTATCGTTATCTAAAACAATTTATGTAGAAAGCTGGCTGCAAAATCCGACAAGCTTCAACCTTATCATTTTAATGGAACGATCAGGTTACAGGTGGCGTGAAAACAGTGAAAGTGTAGCTCAATTCATTTTGAAGTGCAGGATATCAACATCCCCAGAGCATCGATGTCAAAGAAGAGATAAGCAGACTGTGCAAGGGTGGCAGACTGGCACAATTCAACGAGATAAAAAAGTTGTTTTTTTAAAACAGCAGTAATCATGGTCACATGAAAAAGGTTATGCCAAAATTTCACAGGTACTGAAGCAACAAAAATTAGAAAAATTGCTACCCCCATAATAATAATAATAATCCTTGGCACCTTTTGCATTGGGAAGATATCTCAAAGAGCTTCACAGGATATACGGTAAATGTAGTGACTGTATTCTGGAGGCAAACGCAGCAGCCAATTTGTCAATAATGTGGCAGTCAAGTTCGCCCACAAGACACACAATTTCTAATCTTTACAGTATATCCTGTGAAGCACTTTAGGGCATCCACCCAATGTGAAAGACGCTATACCAAATGTAAAGATTATCATTTTTTTTGCTATTTGATGACTCGTGGGTAAGAAATGTATCGTTCTGTTGTGTTGTGATTTTGATAATGTGTATTTAGAAAGGAGAGGCGCAATCATTACTGTATAACTTTACATTACTAAAGGTTCTACCCTGAGTAGCTGTGGACATTTTCCTTTGAGCTTGATAAATGATTTCTTTGCAATAAGTTATGAAAGATCTTTGTAGTAACTTTGGATTACTGTGTGGACAATCAACCAACAAAACATACACACATAACATCAGGACCTCCCACACAGGACTCAAACACTCCATGAAAACATTCTTCAGTCAAAAGTACTGAGCTGGAGTATTCCTTATTCTCATCAGAAATAACTTTTATACCTTATATATCTTCTCCCTCACCAAAACAACTTTCCATATGCATTCCATATTCATATTTCATGCACAATAATCTCAATAAAATTACACTGAAACAAAACCCATCCGACCTTTTTATGAAATTGGTTGATTATTATAACCTTGTTTATACAAACAAAACAATACAGGCAGGACTGTATTATATGGTGTGATAAACAAGGTTATGATCTCCAATTCATGTCAAGAAACTGAATTATATTTTGTGTAAAAGGTTATTCTAATTCCGAGTGACTGACATATGTGAGCTAAGATAAATAAGAGTTAAATATTCCAGGGTTCTCAGTTTACAAGAAAGATAGGCACTGTGGGAAACGAGGTGGGGGGGTAGCCCTGTTAATTAGGGATGAAATAAAAGCAGTGGAGAGGAAGGATCTGAAATCCGATGACCAGGAGGTAGAGACAACAAATAATAATAAAATAAATAATAATAAGGGGCAGAAAATATTAATGGGAGTGGTGTATAGACCCCCAAACAGTGATCACAATATAGCACAAGGTATTAATCAAGAAATCAGTGGAGCGTGTAGGAAAGGTAAAGCGATAATAGTGAGTGATTTCAATCTCCACATAGATTGGGAAAACCAAATCGGCAAAAGTAGGTCAGAAGAAGAGTTCATTGAGTGTATGAGAGATAACTTTCCAGAGCAGCGCGCCGAGGAACCAACTAGGGGACAGGCCATCCTGTAGCTCAGTGGTTAGAGCACTCGCTTTGCAAGTGAGAGACCTGAGTTCAATTCCAGGCAGAGGGCGAAACCTTGGGCAAGTTTCCTTACTCCACACAGAGCCTAATAATAATCCCTCCAAAAACCCAAAACAATAATAAATTGGTCATTTTCAATCCATGACTGTTTGTGGGACATTGCTGTGCGCAATTGGCTGCCGCGTTCGCCCACAAATATACAGTCAATTGATTTTACAGTATATTCTGTGAAGCGCTTTGGGACTTCTAGGCGACGTGAAAAGCTTATATCAAATGCAAGGATTATTATTATTATTATCTTAGACCTTGTTTTGTGTAATAAAACAGGGCTAGTCGGCAGTGTAGGTATTAAGATTCCTCTAGGGCAGAGTGATCACAATATGATTGAATTCTGCATTAAGTTAGAGAGGGATATAGTTAAATCCGAGGCAAGTATTCTGAATTTAAATAAGGCTAATTTTGTAGGTGTGAGGAAAGATTTAGGTGAAATAGGCTGGAGAATCAGATTAAAAGTTAAAAATGTAGACCAACAGTGGTAAATATTTAAGGATGTAGTGCATAATTCTCAGCGGTCGCATATTCCCTTGCGGAATAAGAGTACCACAGGGAAAGCAATTCATCCGTGGCTAACTGGAGCAGTTAAGGAAAGCATCAAATTAAAAGAAAAAGCTTATAAAACTGCTAAGTAAAGCAGCAAATCTGAAAAGTTTTAGGAACCAACAAAAAAAAACTAAAAAACTCATTAAGAGCGAGAAAAAGGAGTATGAGGGTAAGCTAGCTAGGAACATTAAGTCTGATTGTAAAAGTTTTTACAAATATATTAAGAGGAATAGGCTAGTGAGGGTAAATGTAGGTCCACTTCAGTCAGAGACGGGAGAAGTTGTACTGGGGGATAAGGGCATGGCAGAGTCCCTAAATCTGTCTTCACCCTAGAAGACACAACAAGTCCGCCAACAATAGGGATGCACCAAGGGGAGAAGGACAGGGAGGAACTTAGGGAAATTTTCATTAGTAGAGAATTGGTGCTAGGGAACCTGTTAGCACTAAAAAGTGACAAATCCCCTGGTCCGGATGGCTTGCATCCCAGGGTTTTAAAAAGGTAGCTTATGAGATAGTGGAGGCTTTGTGTCTGATCTTCCAAAATTCCTTGGATTCTGGAACAGTCCCCATGGATTGGAAGATCGCAAATGTCACACCACTATTTAAAAAGGGTGGAAAGGAAAAGATGGGGAACTATAGGCCAGTTAGTCTCACATCAGTGATAGGAAAACTTTTAGAATCGTTGATTAAGGATGTAGTAGTGCGGTATTTAGAGAAGCACAATATAATTAGGCCAAGTCAACATGGCTTTACAAAAGGGAAGTCATGTTTGATAAATCTCATAGAATTTTTTGAGGATATTTCGAGTAAACCAGATAAGGGTGAATCAGTGGATGTGGTCTATTTGGACTTCCAGAAGGCATTCGATAAGGTGCCGTATAAAAGGTTAGTCCAAAAGATAGAGGCCCATGGAATTGGGGGGAGCATATTAACATGGATTGGGGAATGGTTAACGGGTAGGAAACAAAGAGTAGATATAAATGGGTCCTTTTCAGATTGGCGGGATGTGACGAGTGGAGTACCACAACGATCAGTCCTTGGGCCTCAGCTATTTACCATTTACATCAATGATCTAGATGAGGACATCGAAGTTAATATATCTAAATTTGCGGATGACACAAAACTAGGAGGAAGTGTCAACACAGAGGATGACATTAAAAAAATTTAAATAATGCAGCACGACATTAGGTGATTGGGCAGGTAGGTTTGCTGATGAAGTATAATGTAGGGAAGTGCGAAGTCATCCACCTAGGTAGCAAAAACAGTAGAGAGGGTTATTTTTTAGAAGGGGAGAGATTGGAATGTGTTAGCGACTTGGGTGTCCTTGTACACCAATCACAGAAAGTTAGTCTGCAGGTCCAGCAAGCAATTAGGAAAGCGAACGGTATGTTAGCATTCATTATGAAAGGATGAGAGTATAAAAGTAGGGAAGTCTTGCTGCAACTGTATAGGGCCCTGGTGAGACCACACCCGGAATACTGTGTGCAGTTCTGGTCTCCTTATTTAAGAAAGGATGTACCTTGCCTTGGAGGGGGTGCAGCGTAGATTTACTCAGTTAGTACCAGGGATGAAGGGGATGAGTTACGAGGATAGGCTGACCAATTTGGGCCTATATTTTCTAGAATATAGAAGAATTAGACAGGATCTTATAGAAACCTATAAGATCATCAAAGGGCCTGATAGAGTAGATAGTGGGAGATTGTTTTCCCTGGTTGGAGAAACTAAAACCAGGGGTCACAACCTTAAAATCAGAGGCCAACCCTTTCGCACTGAGTTGAGGAAGAAATTCTTCACTCAAAGGGTGGTGAATGTATGGAACTCACTACCCCAAAGGGCTGTTGGCACTCAGTCCTTGAACATATTCAAGACTGAGATAGATATATTTCTTATTGCAAAAGGGATTAAGGGATATGGGGATAAGGCAGGGTTATGTTATTAGCTGGAGTTAGATTAGAAGATCAGCCATGATTGAATGGCGGGGCAGGCTCGAAGGGCCGAATGGCCTACTCCTGCTCCTACATGTTATGTTAAGATGATTTCTCACTTGTGGAATGAACTGTGAATTTAACTGTCATTATGTGCAATAATTCTATCACACTCACTTTATATTTAAATAGAATGGGAGCATCTTGCACTCAATTAAATGCAATCAAGAATCTGCCAATGTTTGCTAGCATTTGTGAATTTCCCAATTTTCTGTTTAGTTACCGTCCTTGTATCTTTACATTATGAGAGGAACAGGTGGAACATTTCCAATATCAACAGTGTATACTGCGTAATGGCAGCCACGGGAAACATAAATGAAGGACGTTTTGAGGTTAATAAAGATAGTATTCCTCACAGTAACAATATTATTGGTTTATGAACCCAATTTGGAAGGCTTTTCTCAAAACACCAACTTTGGTGACAATACAGGGATTCGCAAAAAGCAAAAGTTACTAGTCTTACACCTAGAAAATATAGTCATCTATCAAGCAGTAAATTTACTTTTAATTGCTTTACGACAGCCAGCATAAAGGTTACCGGCATTCACAGATGGTGATAAATAATTCAAATTCAAATTACACAGTAATAAATGTGTCATATATGAAACGTGGGGATGAAAGGCCCTTATCGTAAATTTAATTAAGTTTACTGTGTATAAAATAATTGGACGGCAACCTCTTGCACTCATATTCTAAAATAATGAAAAATAGACATTTCCAGTTTTATTCCTGTGTACCAGAAATGTTCAACCGATAGATTGTGCACCAGATAAACATTCTTGACTTTGAGTCAGGAGAGTATTTTGGAAGCCTTTCAAAACATTTCAGCTAAAACTCAAATTCAAACTGTCCTGCAACGAAATCCTAAATCCAACATCCGCAAAAAATAATTATGAAATTTATAGCAACAATCGTGAAGACAGCAACGACTGCTAAAGCAATAACAACTATGGATCAGGTTGGAGTGCTTGGGATAGACAAGGTTCATACTACAGTATCAAAATCTCTTAAAGCCATGGTCAATCTCATTGATTTACCTGATTTAGGCACAGAATATGGACAAAGGCCTCATTATCAGTTTTGTAGTCCACTTCAAGTAGCAAAGGAAAAAAGTACTTACTGTATCCCACATTACGATATTTACATCAGCAGCAAAGGAGTTGTTGATATGTTGGGATATATAGAGGTTCACAAAATCGCAGAAGTGGTGGTACATATTGACACCTAACAGTTCAAAAAAAAATCAGTTAATGAAGCAAAACTTTTTTGCTAATTGTAAGGGGAAAAGAGAACCATAAATTCTAGTAGGGTTACCTAACTGGATTTCCCCTAATCTTTCAATTTAAGTTTGCCTATGGTGTATTTGAAAACATTTTATTGATACTTTTTTTTAAAATTAAAAACAGCATGAGGGCTGAAATATCACAATTTGATGAATCGCCAATAGGCATAAAATTATACCTTACTTTAGAGCTAAAGGCATAAAATTATACAAAGTCATTGAGGCTTTGCATTATTTGGAAAATGACTTGGCTTCACCTGCGTCTAACTTCATGAAATATGTTGGCTTTTCAATAATGAGGTCACAATTTCCATCTTCAATGGGTTGAAAGTTCAGCTCCGAATAGGTTTGTAGTTCTGCAAACCTGTGAAAAGAATAGATTATACTGCTGAAAAGATACTGAACCAGCACTGTCAAATGATACCAACTACTTAATAATTTAATTATTTCAATTTGTTCCACTTTAAAATGACAAAGGTTTCTTGGTGTTATGGACATCCACTACATCTGTCAGATTAACTGAATGTGGTGAAATTCGCTGTGACATAAATGAATATTGATCATTCTTTAGCAAACTCATTATTTTATCATTCTGTTTTAATATATTGCGTATTATTTGCTTAGGACATTTAGATATTAAAGCCAACAGTGTAAAATACAAAATTTCATTATAAAAATGAATTAAACACCAAGATATCTGAACATTACACTGATATTTGCTCAGCACGTCACTTGCTTACTTTTTTCAATTATAGGCAATACAGTATATCAAAGTGCTACTCATTCCACAGTTTCAGTTGTCACTGTCTGCTTTTTTCCATTAAAAATTTTTTTTTTTGCCCACTTCGAAAGTGCAGTTCCATGGAGTGTAATACAGTGATTAAAATAAATTAATTAAAAGTGACTTCTTCCACCCAGATGAACAAAATTTGTAAATTGCAGCCGATGTTGCAGAGATCAGCAATCAGGCTTAGCTTTGAAGCAATGGTCACTTTTGCTCCTGATCGGTTAAAGCCTATCAACCATTTCACCTTCATTTAAAATCTTGTTTCTATTTTTTGCTGTAATATTTGAACACATTGAGTATATTTAATATTTCGCTTATTAAATATCAGGTAAAATATTTATTGTTGGCTGCCATGTTTCGCCCACAAATACACAGTCAATCTGCTTTACAATATATATTCTGTGAAGCACTTTGAGATGTCTCAACGATGTGATAAGGTGCAATATCAAATGCAAGGGATTATTATTATATAAAAAGAGAATATTGATTTGATCACAGATACCAGAACTGACCAGGATTGCAGAGGACTTTTATGCTCTCCTTCAGCCAGCAGTGCAGCCTTGTTCAATTTACAAGAACCTCCAATTTCACCAGCTTGAAAGAAATCCTCCTTATACCTGTTAAAATGAGATTTGTATTTTCATTACAGTACTGAAACATCAGTAATAGCACATTTACCTTCGCTGTGTATAGTATCAAAAAACATTTAGTGTTATTATATCTCAAAACTCAACAGTCCGAATATTTAACATGACTGAAAGGAAAAACTGCATGAGGTAGGGTTAAAAATAACAACATGATAATTAAATGTATTTTGGGGGAATAATACATTTGCACAGTTACAGTGAATCACGCTGTGAATCATAAAAAAAGCTTTATTTGGCTTTATCTACTATTAATCTGATTTTCATCTCATTTGATAAAGGGTTTATGCACATGATATAGCTCAGATAAGTAATTCAAGGAGAGCAGTACACATTTGAATGAGTTGCGATATTACATAAACAATAGCAGATGGTAATTACTGGGCTCAAGGCAATTACATGCTGAGTTCATGCGATAATGTACTCTGCCATGATTTACCTCAAATATAAAGATTGATTTAAAGGCCTCAATTAGTAACTCACTCTTGTTGTGCCCAGCTTTTCCTTTACCTCTCTACACATTTCCGAGGAATTTCCAGGATTATTCCTGATGTTTGACAGGAAATTGCTAAGAAATATAGTAGAAATTGCTAATAACATTTTTTACTGGAGAATGGGGGAGAGTGAAATTTAAGCATCAGAAGCATTTGGCATTTTATGAATAATATACATCATTTTTAAAAAATTTAATAAAACAAAATATTTTAAAATCCAAATTCAGAGGAAATTAACATACAATGTGGAAAACATGAGCATTAACATTTAACTAATCTGATATACATATTCCTGTATTTGTCTGTACAGTGGATGGATTGCTGACACCTTGATTTTAAACCTAGGAGTTAAGATACCTTTATGATGATTGGGGGAAGAAAAGAGAGAGGAGAAAATTGATCAGGTAAAAAGGCAAGTGAAAATGCACCGAGATCCCTGCAATGTAAGGTCAGACAATCTTACTTGCCGGTGGAACAAACTCGTCGCAGGACTATGAACCAGTTTGTGGCTTTACTACTGCCATGTATTGGTGAGGTGTTCAGGATAGGTTTGGAAGGATATTCTCGAAACACACATTCATATAAAGAGTTTGCTGTTTACCGCAATGTGAGATACGTGAAATCAGAGACCTATCTGTGCTTCTTCTTGGGTGTCTCAAATCAATGTAGAGATTTGTGGCTCTGCAGAAGCGAGTGTACTTTGAGCAAGTTAGGGATGAATCCCCCTGAAAAAAAATCCCAAAGGGGGAAAAAATATTAATAAAAAAATCAAAAGGTACATTTCCAATTGAAAACAAAGTCTGAAATTAAAACAGAAATTTGAAGAAATGTAAATGACGCAATTCAAAAGCAAAAATTGGTTTGAAAATCTTACTGGTTTGACCGATTCACATAGTGTTTTCATCTCTTGAAGCATGACTTTAACATAGCCGAAATCAGCTTGCTTCCAGAAGATCTCTTGTGCTGCTTCGATTGTGGTCGACCTGTTTATGAAATAAAGTGAAGAAAACTAAAAGGCCAGCATTGGGTTGTTCCACACACTGATAGCAACACTGATCAAGCTGTCACTCCTAGAGTCAGCACTATTTTTTGACTGGTTAACCATCTTAAAGGATACATCCTGACAGACATGACAGAGTATGTACAACTCATTCCCAAGTCGAGCCATCAGAGAGGAGGAAGAATGAACTGCAGGGATTAAATGCTAATTAACCATGCCATACAAACTCAAATTAATGGGCTTAGAATTTTAGAGCGCACAAGTGCACATGTACATTTTTAAAAAATGACTATGTGTTAGTCAGTAACTAAGTTGGAAAGCCTGACCACAATGCTTAATAATATTAATAATAATCCTTGCATTTGATATAGCGCTTTTCACGTCTTCTCGATGTCTCAAAGCGCTTTACAGAATAGACTGTAAAGTGAATTGACCGTATATTTGTGGGTGAAACGCGGCAACCAATTGCGCACAGCAGTGTCCCACAAACAGTCGTGGATTGAAAATGACTAATTAATTATTGTTTTTTGTTTTGGAGGGATTATTATTAGGCTCTGTGTGGAGTAAGGAAACTTGCCCAAGGTTTCGCCCTCTGCCTGGAATTGAACCCAGGTATCTCGCTTGCAAGGCGAGTGCTCTAACCACTGAGCAACAGGACTCTTAATATTTCAATGGATCAGCTTCTCAGGCATCTAGGTGTATTACAGGACTGTCCTGGGCTAATTTGGGCTTGGATTTTTCTGTCTCCCTTATTGGAAAGATACACAAAGTAAATACAGATGAATGGCCACTCGCAGTATAAATGATTGGCAATCAATTCACACAGTTGAAATTGTATACATTTGAAATTGTAGAATTTTACAAGGAAATATTTAACATCGTCTAAGACTTCCCCCTAAAATATATTGTTCTTCACCCACCACATCTCTAGAAATAATTTATATTCCAGCAATTTATGGGACAAATTTCTTGTTTTTTTTTAAAAAAGGATTTGTTTTTGCTCAAATTTGGCTTTCCAGAAATCATCCAACTGATCACCAGTTCCACTAACTCCATACATCAGAGAGCTGCAAAATTATCCACACTTAAAGAATTCTCATTTAAACATAAATAAAAATGAACTGTACAGTCATATTTAACTAACATTATTGAAGTACATTCATATGCACCTCTTGCTTTCCACCATGATACAGTACATGGACCTCCCACTAGTTTATGCACTACAAGTTTGTTTGAAGGGCGCTATATAAGCGCAAGTTGTTTTTCTTGTACTGTCCATCTCTTTTTCCACGCTAAGCGTTCCTATATTGGTGTACAGAATGCAGCTATCAATACCTTTTGGAGCAAACTATTGTGAAATAGTTTCACAAAACTGTTGAAAACTAATGAAATATTGTGTCAACCGCAAGTTTATTTTGCAAGAATTCCATAGCATAAGTACGCTGCAGAGATTCGATAACAATCATTTTTACAAAAATTGAAAAACATGCCACAAGCAGGTTTCCTTAAGCTCTCCCAAATCCCAGAAATCCAACAGTAATTGAACCTTAATTCCTCTGAGTTTTCACATGCTTTGATCGTGCAAAATCAAATCCAAACGTTTGCTAGCAGTTTCTCAAAACATTGTTTATGTGTACAAATATGCTCAGATGCACATTTTTTTTTAAAAAAACACACACAAGCACACTCTCTCAGGGCTTGACTCCTACAGCCATGTGCATCAGGATTATCTTCATCGGGTTTGAGATTGTTTCTGTTGAAGCCACAGTTCATACTGTATTTCCTAATCCGCTGTTCAAGGACCACACTTGGTTCTGCACTAATATATTAAAAAAAACATAGAATGGGGATATGTTGTTCTCAATCGTCCTCGTGACAAGAAGATCTTTGTTATCTATTCAAGTTTGAAAGGTACCATTTCTCTTATCCAATCATCTTACTTATTTTATGGGAAATGGTTTTAAACTCCAGTTCAGCATTTCTATTAGAATTTTTTCTCTCATATAAAATATCATCAGCATTACTAAGGATGGCCACTATTTTTTTTGTAATGTATCAAATAATTATTTGAATGTGCTGTAGTGCTGCAAGGCTTTTTGACATTTAAGATCCTGTATCAAATGCAATTGATGCATTGAATTATTATTATTATTAATATTTCACAATTTAAAAATAGTCTGAAGTTTGGCATTTTTCTTGCAGAACACAGTATTCTTTTGAAATGCAGAGAAAGGAAAGCTAGAGTATCTGATTCTCAATAATAAATTCACTGCATTCGCAGCCTTGACTAACACTTGTCATGGGCTTCCGAGCAGGGGATAGAGGTGATCAAACAAAGACCAGTGCAACTGGAATTGTGTACGAGTCTCAAGGTTGGGCCATTCAACACTGCTCACTGAAGAATTTTTAGTTAAATCTACACTCCAGAAGATTCTCCCCCACCCAAAAAAAATTAAACCAGAGAATGCCTTAAAATGTACAAAGCATTTTAAAACAAAGTATTTTTAAGTACTGTACATACATGTTATTGACTGTTTTATATTAATCTACTCATTCACATTGTTTTGGTTTATCATTAATGCCATTAGTTACTGGCTTTAATGTGGAATCCTTGTCAGAAGACAAAGCTTCTACCCCATTTGAGTGTTGTTTTTGAATACTTTTATATCATGTTTGGAAAGTGAAAAATTAAGCATCTTTTGAAAGTATTCAATCAAAAACATGGTGTATCACAATAGCAATCCGAAATTAGAAGGAATGCAGGCCTACAATGTTGTTTGTTGTTGACTGATATTTTCAAAAATAGCTACAATTAAATTGACAGCCTCTCTCTAAAAGCAAACATTTTGTGCAGTCAGTGGCATTTACTGACTTTTACAACTTGAATTTAACAGTTGCGCTGACCAGATCCGCACACCCAATCTTCACCTGACCCGATCACCAACATCTGATTGTTAATTTGCCCACAAAGTCTCCAATTACTTCACTATCTTTTGCTCTGGGTCTTACCAGCCTGAAGTGGCCTTGGTGCACACAGGGTAGCTGAATCTGTATTCTGGCTTGCAGCTTTTCTCATAACCCCAGCAGGATTTCAGTCTCTTCACGGACTCCTGAAACAAGAGAAAATGTGCAGTGACTTTATCTTTCTAAAGGTCAAATGCATCTCGTAAACTTCCTTGCCTAAATTGGCCATTTGTGGTGATCTTTGGACTCTTCACTTAATAAAGTGATAACTGTACCCAGTATAACCGTAAGTGTTAAAAATAGTCAATATAGTAGTTTACAATATACTGGAAAGTTGTGTTAAAACGTTTCTCTATCACGTTTCTTGTTAATTGTTTTTCGAGTACTTTTTTAAATGATACGCCCTCCTGATGTGAAAGGGACTATACAAATGTAATTTGTTGTTGTTGATATCATAATCAAAGTGACCATCTAATAAGTTCCTCAGTGAACAGTGTTGAATGGCCCAGCCTAGAACCCTGCCGCCTGCATCCCTACCCGCACTAAACTCCGCTCCCCAATTACCCCAGTCCTTGCCAGACTGCACTGGCTGCCTGCCCCAGAAAGGATCGACTTCAAGACCTCACCCTCCACTCCTCTGCACCCCCCTACCTCTCTGACCTCCTCTCTCTTCAAAACAGTGCCCGTTGCCTTCACTCCACCGGGTCTGGCCTCCTCCTTGTCCCCCAAATCCTCCGCTCCACCCTCGGTGGCCGGGCCTTCAGCCACTACACCCCGAGGCTCTGGATCTGCCTTCCTCACTCCCTTCGCCTAGCACCCTCTCTTCCTATTTTCAGGTCTCTGCTGAAGACCTTTCTTTTCGACCGCGCCTTTGGTCACCTTCTTCCTCCTCCCCCTGGCTCGATCCCGGGATCCGTTACTGTGAAGCGCTCTGAGACGCCATTTGACGTGGAGGGCGCTATGTAAATCCAAGTTGTTGTTGTTGACCAACTTCAGGACCACTAAATAAACAAAAGGCAAAATACTGCAGATGCTGGAAATCTGAAATAAAACAGAAGTTGCTGGGAACACTCAGCAGGTCGGGCCGCATCTATAGAGAGAGGAAAGTGAATTAACGTTTCATCGACCTGACAAAAGGTCATAAACCTGAAACATTAACTCATTTTCTTCTCTCAATAGATGCTGCCTGACCTCCTGAGTGTTCCCAGCAACTTCTGCTTTTATTTTTGGTTCTATGACAGGATATGTTGCCAATAGTTCATGCTATGGAGAAATGTAGACAATATAGGGAGGAAGGAATAGTTGGTTCCTATCTGCTCCCACAAAAGCTGCCTTGAAGTCAGTTCCTCTAGTTCAACTCCTTTTCAGTTGCAGCTCTACCCTTGATTGGCACAGTTGCAACAGAACGTGTGTTGACCACAAACGATAATATAGATGTTTTAGGATATTCCAGTTTTACTCACTTTCATACCAACTGAAGCTTTTATTCAAATAGGTCATCAAAAATATGTTTGGATTCTATGCAAATTCCAGCATAGTTGTTCACCACAAGGTTTGAAAAACTTGTTATCTCCCTGCAGTCTCTGTACGTGTTTCCTTTCTACTGGGGTACTATCCCAAAACGCAAGTGAACTCACAAATGTTTCTGTCGAAGAATTGCAAAAATCACAGTTTATAGCAAATATTCAAGCAGCGCCCCCTTTAGGATATGTCATAATTTAACACTTGACTTGTCTCTCAGAGTCAGCGCCAGTATTTGAACTCTCCTCTGACTGCTGTGCTGTTTAGAACATATACGATTAGCAGATCTAATATTTCCCCACAGTGAAAATTTGCAAATGAACTGTTCATGAAATGTACTTTCTGATGGATACGCAAGCCTACCTTAAATGGACAAAGAGGATCTTTTTTGCAAACTGTGGCTATGGGTTTGTTGTTGTGCAGAAAGTAACGAATATGGTCATCAGGCAACCTGATGTCGCTGTAACTGTACAAAGGCGCTTGCTTGATACCATCTGTATTATTTTGGTCTTTCTCTTCGAGTTCAGAGCCTCCGGCAGGCTGCATTACAAACTGAAGCAGCGTTAACATCGTGACTGCACAGATGGCAGACCTACAAAAGAAAGATTTAAACTTCTAGCAGATTTTCATTTGTGACTGTTCAGTCAGGAGTAAATCGACTGTTTCTATTTAAAGAAACAATAACAACAAGCACTGTGATGTTTAAGGAGTACAAGCTTTTTACCTGGAATGGCCTTTACTGTAACAATATGTATCTTGCTGGCGGCACAGGTTATGGAATATTAAAGCAATCTATTGCTGGGCACACAATAAAAGCTAAAGCTCATTTCTTCTGCTACATAATTTTCTTTGGTGCTAAATGGAGTCACCTGTGATAGATCACTCTTTAATCTTATACCTTTTAATCCTCAAACAGAGACATGAAAATGATGAAGAGGGATTACCCAGACATCTGGTTCGTTCAAATCTGTGCTTAAAGCAGCACATTACACTTTATCTGGCCCTTAATTTGTAGGAATAATGATCAATTTAATAGCTACACAATTTATCCAAGATTTACGTTCTGAGATAAAACTAGTGAATACCCACATATTAGAATTGAATCGAGCATCATTTACACCAACCCAGTAAAAATTGTTACTGATAATAAATACAGTATGACAAACCTGCTCTCCAAATGTTGTGTTCAAAGACCACCACACCAAACTAGTCTCATGCTGTTGATTATGTACACAAGGATAAATATATTTTCTCTCAAGTAAAATGTAGTGTCCTGTTTTTTAAGCATATACAGTAAACCTCACATAAGTCGCATCAGTTGGGACCATACAGTTATTATGATTTATGCTACGTATGAGTTATGTCAAACTTTCATGGAATATAAACTCTTGAACAGGACTTAAGCAGATTTATGACAGATTTATCTAAGGCTGCGGTTATACGATTTATACAGATCAGACCTATGAGAGTTTTACTGTATTGGACGAATTAGATGTCTGGGTAATCCTTACTTTGTAAATTGAATGGCCATTGATTGACACTGCAAGGTGATTTAAAATAACTTTTTTTTTCAGTTTTGGTACGAAAATGTTGCCATACTTACAGCCTCTACTGCAATCACCACTCATATAATCTGTAGTAAATTCACATTTTTTCCACTTACCTGAGTGAGTATTCAAACTGATTTTCAATGTTAATGTTGAATTCTTCTCTTTCTGTGCATTTACATTTACTGTCAGGTTCATTCTCCCACTCTGTCCTGGTTATCAGCCTAAAAAAGATACAATTACTTAACTTCACTTCCTGTGCGATGTCAGAGTCCAGTGTTTAAGCATTGGACATTTGAGTTTAGTTACGATTTCATCCTAACACAGATTAATTTCTCACAGCCAACTAGGGACTATCCAGGAGGGGGCAGGGGATCTCCTTGTAGCTGAACTGGCTCCAAATGTTTGTTGCTGCCTTGTAACTTCCCATCCATTGCCTCCAATTTACTGTGTCCGACTTATTCTGTACTTATAACACTGTTTTTGCTCATTTGGTGGGTATGATGCTTGCACTCAGGAAGACAATGACTGATACTGTTGATACCACTCATCTGGACATGGAAGAGCAGAGGGTCTGAGATATAGTGAGTCACTACTCAATGCATCCACACTGCCCACCGAACCGCGGAAATTACAGTGTGAAGCGGTCAGTGGCTTGAGCAGTTGCATTAACAACTGGACTCATAAATGTCATGCTTCATGGGAAGGGACAATAAGAGGAAATGCCGCACCTTGCTCCTCTCCCTTTCATAAAAATAAATAATCCTTGCATTTGATATAGCGCCTTATCATGTCCTCGAGACGCATCAAAGCGTTTCACAGAATATACTGTAAAGTGACTGTATATTTTGGGGGCGAAACTCAGCAGCCAATTGCGCACAGCAGTGTCCCACAAACAATCGTAGGGTGAGTGACTTTTTTTTAAAAAGCGTTCTGAGAAAAACCGACTAACAACCGGGTTCCTACTTACTGACGGGTAACCAGAGTGTGCGTGTGGAGTCAGGAAACTTGCCTAAGGTTTCGCCCTGCCCCGGGGTGGGGGGTGGGGGTACGAAACCCGGGTTCTTTTGCTGGTGAGGCGAGGGCTCCGACAACCCAACATGCCACATGACTCTGTGTTTCTAGTGCCTGGCTGCCCCTCTGCCCTGTGCCCCCGTGCCCTCCCTGTGCCCCCCTGTACCCTCCCTGTGCCCTGTACCCTCCCTGTGCCCCCCTGTACCCTCCCTGTGCCCTGTCGCCCCCCTGTGCCCTGTGGCTGCCCTGTGCCCCCGTGCCCTGTGGCTACCCTGTCCTGCCCTGTACCCTCCCTGTGCCCTGTGCCCCGCTGTGCCCCCCTGTGCCCTGTACCCTCCCTGTGCCCTGTGCCCCCCTGTACCCTGTGCCCCCCCCCCCCCCCCCCTGTGCCCCCCCTGTGCCCCCCCCCCTGTGCCCCCCCCCTGTCCCTCCCTGTGCCCTGTGCCCCTTGCCCCTGTACCCTCCCTGTGCCCTGTGCCCTGTGCCCCCCCTGTGCCCTGTGCCCCCCCTGTGCCCCCCCTGTGCCCTGTGCCCCCCTGTGCCCTGTGCCCTCCCTGTGCCCTGTGCCCCTATGCCCTGTACCCTCCCTGTGCCCTGTGCCCCCCTGTGCCCTGTGCCCCCCCTGTGCCCTGTGCCCCCCCTGTGCCCTGTGCCCCCCCTGTGCCCCCCTGTGCCCTGTGCCCCCTGTGCCCTGTGCCCCCCTGTGCCCTGTGCCCTCCCTGTGCCCTGTGCCCCTATGCCCTGTACCCTCCCTGTGCCCTGTGCCCCCCTGTGCCCTGTGCCCCCCCTGTGCCCTGTGCCCTCCCTGTGCCCCCCTGTACCCTCCCTGTGCCCTGTGCCCTGTGCCTATTCTCCTGTGAGGGAGAGGGACACCACCCAACACGTCACAGAGGCGGCGAGTGACGCGCCGCTGCCTCGCGGGACCCTGTGGGCGCGGCCGCGCGGCACTGGAGGGCTGTGACCACCGGCGCTACTTTGTATCGAGCGCCGCGTTCCAATACCTCGGCGGCTGTTTTGTGAATGGGATGAGTCGCGGGCAGTTCGGCGCCATCACCGGTGTTACACCGCAAACCTTCCCCCCCGACAACCGCTGGGAGACAGGCGGTTCCTGTCCGCCCCCCGAAACGGCATCACCTGCCCGACCCGATCCCACATACTCTCGTGCATTTGAGGCTTCCGTTGCTATCACGGATTTTTTTTTTCTTTCCTAAACGGGGTTATAGCAATAATAATAATCTTCGCATTTGATATAGCGCTTTTCACGTCTTCTCGACGTCTCAAAGCGCTTCACAGAATAGACCGTCAAGTGAATCGACTGTGTATTTGTGGGCGAACGCGGCGGCCGATTGCGCACAGCAATGTCCCACAAACAGTCGTAGATTGAAAATGACCAATTTATTATTGTTTGTTTTTTTTGGAGGGATTATGATTAGGCTCTGTGTGGAGTAAGGAAGTAAGCGATCGTATCAAATGTTACGACCCTACACAGGAAGGGAGAGTAGTGGGAAGAGGGGGAAAGGTCTTTTTTTTTAAAAAAAAGAGTCTCAAATCGAACATGAATAAATGTTCAGGTCGTCTCAGCTGGTGGCAAAGTTATCGCCCAGAATCATAAGCTACACGAATGAAATAAATACACGGCATCATTGAACATTTCTGTCAACACCTTTTTTTTAAAAAAAATTTGTTTGGATGGTTTTGCTGCAAAAATGCTGTCTTTAGTCCCCCAGAAACTGGTTTTCAGCAAGTAATCAGAACCACGTTATTCATAATATTTGTGGTAGCAGCACATACTCAACGTAATAGTCATAATTTAACATTACAAGCACAAACTATACAAGTCTCCAAGTTAAATATACAATTGGGCTGAAAATATCACATTGCCACATTTTGTGCATAATCAGAGCACTCATAACAAACTATATAAATTGCCAACTTGGTTATTTAATAATATCCTTGCATTTGATTTAGCGCCTTACCATGTCTTTGAGACGTCTCAAAGCGCTTCACAGAATGCACTGTTTAGTAAGTTGCACAAATTTGCCTCCATGTTTAGTAATGTAAAATTAAACCAGAAGTGGTTTAACATTGTGGAGCGTGTTGCATTTGTTGACAAGAGTTCCAGTTTGCTCTTATTAAAAGGTTCCAATTGTGGAGTCCTGTAGCTCAGTGGTTAGAGCACTCGCTTCGCAAGTGAGACACCTGGGTTCAATTCCAGACAGGGCGAAACCTTGGGCAAGTTTTCTTATTCCACACACCTAATAATCCCTCCAAAAAACAAAAACAATAATGAATTGGTTATTTTCAATCCACGACTGTTTGTGGGACACTGCTGTGCGCAATTGGCTGCTGCATTTCACCCACAAATATAATCAATTCACTTTACAGTATTCTGTGAAGCGCTTTGAGACGTCGAGAAGACGTGAAAAGCGCTATATCAAATGCAAGGATTATTATTATTATAAAATATAAATAACATCAAAGATGTAAAATGAAATTATACTTCTAAAGCTGCTTTAATTACTGGTCGTCACTGAGGGAATTGATCTCAGTTGGTGCAGCAATTGAAGTGTAATTACAATGGGCTCCAGTTAAGCAAGGGCTAAAAGTTAGTTAGGGTTTCCGTTTCTCATCACTCTCCAGAGCCCCATACAATGTGTGTGTATACATGTAGATACAGGTAGAATTGGGCTCTGCTATGATGCCATCATATTGTCAAATACCATTCCAATGTTCACACAGGAATAATGGCCTCTTTGGTAAACTCCTATAAAGACACCCATACCTGTGGAACTCTACCCCATAGAAAGAAATGACAGAAAAATTAGCGGGAGGAGGAAATTATCTGGTCTCACTGAAGAACAACATTTATTCTCCTCAGGTTCCAGCCTGAAGAAAGTATTTCGACTCTGCTTGAATTTTCAGATATTCAGACATTACATTAAGCCAAAAATGTCAAATAATATGCTAAATGCAGATACTATACCACAGGAAAAGATAGATCAGTTAAGAGGCTTTATTATATCCCAGATTCCATCAATGTACACAAACTATTTATATTTTAAATTTAGTTAGAACAATAGCACAGAACATGAACTGAAGTTATAGAAAGTTAGTTTAAATAAAGCACTTTTAAATTAAACAGACAGAATATAGCACCAGGAAAGAGTTATTAAATGTACAATGTGCTCGTTCAAAATAGTAGATTCTACCATTAAACCCTTTGAAACTATATATTTAAATGATTGCAACTAAACTTATTAGAAAAGGTAGGTCAATATGCAGGTTTTTGCTTTAGACAATAATCAGCAGCAATTGTTGCATTTTTATATACAGCACTTTTATTTCATTTATTTTAAACTGCTCATATTGAATAATTCTGCAATTTTTGTATTTTAAATTTTTGTGACTATAAGAACATTGAATAAAATAATATAACCTCTTAGGTTTAAATTTCATTCTGCCTTGCTAGTGTGAAGCATTTATCAGAAAAACCACACAATTTCTGAATATTTAATCTGCTGGAACTATACTTTGTATAATTTAAAAGCTTACACCTCAGGTAACTGAAACAAAACTGGTCTGTCTTGTATTCAGAAATACATATCATTTTGCCAAGAAATTGCATGTTCCCAAAGCTAACTTTGCATCCTTAAGAGAGATGTAAATTAGATATACTTATAATATTGCACATGAATTGTACAGGCCACTTTACCAAGAATATGTACTTTTACCATTTACACCTTTAGCATCTTCTCCTACGCAGGAAGATTAATGTCACACTGTACAGTTTTTCCTTTAAGGCAACAACACAGGGGAACCCCGCTGTCACCAGGCTGTTGGGATCTCGGGGATTCCAACCCACGTCATAAGCTAAATAGTCGCAGATGGATTATCAACGTCACCAGCCAAATCACCTGTGTGAGCTGCGCATGGGTGCACAAAGCCGGCCGGCAGCTCTCACACGGCGAAATGCACTGCTCTTGCCATGCGCAACTAACCTTAGTTAACCAACCAAATCCTTGCAATAACACGTTTTTCCTACTTTGACACCACAAAATGTCAGCCTCCATCACATGACCTACCCGCCATACGAGCGAGGCAGCATTATATTGTTGGGACGTGATAACAGGGAACACCCCCGTATATGATTAAAGAGGACAGGGCATATATACAGTATTTGTCAGCAGTTTGGGATTTCACATTAACAACGGGAGCCTTGAAGAAAAAGTCAAGGCGTTTTAAATTCAGTGTGGTCGTTGCTTTAACAGTTCGTCGATTTGAGCCTTGTACATGTTTTTAACATCTTCGAGGTCCAGTCGGAGTTCCTCGGCTTCCTCAGCTTTCTCACCATACATCTGCAGGATTGTGTTGTATCGCTGATCGATATCCTGATGAATGAAACACATCAGCTTGGTCATAAAGTAGCAAATTTTTACCAAATCCCTTTTTTTTTAAATATTAAAATATTACCATTTTAAGAGAATCGCATAAATCGTACGTACCTTAAGCTGTTCACGTAGTATAGGGATTTCATTTACTTTCTCCTGTAGTTCATCATTCTGTGTTGTTAACTTGACGAGTTCCTCAGCCATGATAGCTCGGGTCTTTTCTAGGCTAGAGATTTCAAGCTATAAAAGAGGATTAAAGAAAGCTGGTGTTCATATGCCATCAGTTTTATCTTACATTATCATTTGCCTTTTAGAATCTGCAGAATTAGAACTTAACACATCAGTCTTTGGAAGAATAATGTGGGGCCCAATCAAAAAGCAAATTATAGCTCAGAGCTTGCCTCAATTAAACAAATAAAAATTTGATTTTTTTTCACAACCAATAAGGGCTAGTGGACATGGCGAAAATAAAGTTTTTATTTAATTTTATTGGTCTTGCTCCCACCTACCTCTCCGTCTCCTAACCCTCTATCACCCTGTTCCCTATCAACCTGCACGCTCAGCATGTTCCGGTCTGCTCCATGTCTCCTGCCCAACCCACCAAAGCATCGGTGGCCGGACTTTCAGCCTCTCTGACCCCAAACTCTGGAACTCCATCCCACGGTCTCTTCGCCTCGCTTTCTCCCTTGCCTTCTTCAAGGCCGGTCTCAAGACCCTTCTTTTCGATTGTGCCTTCGGTCGCCCTTCCACCTCTCTGCCTTCCCTCACCCCTACCCCACCCCTCACACATGCTCGGGTCCCGACCACCGACTGTCCAGCGCTTTGGGACGTCCTCCCGATGTGAAAGGCGCTCTATAAATGTTGTTGTTGTTGTTCCCTCCCTCCTCTCAGCAGGCTCCGGCCTGCTTCACATCCCCCGCCTTGCTCACCCCACTATTGGCGGGTGAGCCTTACGCCACTCTGCCCCCACCTTCTGGAACTCCATCCCGCAGTCCCTCCGCCACGTCCTCTCCCTTGCCGCCTTCAAGACCCACCTCAAGACCCTCCTCTTTGACTGTGCTTTCGACCTCCCTGCTTCTTACCCTGCCCTCCACCCTCTCCCAACCTGACCCTCAGCTCGGGTCTGTAACCCTGTTTGTCCAGCGCCTTGGGACGTCCTCCCGACGTGAAAGGCGCTATAGAAATGTAATTTTCTTGTTGTTGTTTTCCAATAAATGTACATTATCAACTAGAGTCTCAACCATGACGATCTTATAGCAAGTAAATCACCAAGTCATTTGTCTCAGGTTCAATTCCAGGTCCAGGTTGAGTTTGCTGATCTCAGCTAGGGTGACAGTGGGAGTTCTACAATTGAACTTCAGCATCCTTGGACTTAGGGAGGGTAAAAAAAAAACAGCTTCTGCGCTAAATCACTGTTCAATGATGGCCTGCTGGAAGTGTGAATGCTGGGTCAGGTTCAACTCACATGAAAAACACCTGAGTGATCAAGGTAACCAAGGGCAGGAGTTGGTACTTTTAGGAGAGGATAATAATAATAATCCTTGCATTTGATATAGCGCTTTTCATGTCGGGAGGACGTCCCAAAGCGCTTCACAGAACACACTGTAAAGTGAATTCACTGTATATTTGTGGGCCAACACGGCAGCCAATTGCGCACAGCAATGTCCCACAAACAGTTGTAGATTGAAAATGACCAATATATTATTGTTTTTAGTTTTGGAGGGATTATTATTAGGCTCTGTGTGGAGTAAGGAAACTTGCCCAAGGTTTCGCCCTCTGCCTGGAATTGAACTCAGGTCTCTCACTTACAAAGCGAGTGCTCTAACCACTGAGCTACAGGACTCCACTTACAGGATAAAGGGCAAGAGAACTGGCAAAAGAAAGAACTAGCATTAAGAATGTACCAAAGATGGTAATAGTATTATTATTATTAATCACTTTTTGGAAGTGTACCATTCCAAAAGCTAACTCTGTGGAGAGGGTGTCACATACTATATATTCCCAAATTCAATTCTCAGATCTCCACCTGCAACTGTGCAATTTCTCCTTCCCTTTGCTTCAGTTGTGACTGCAGATTCTCAAAGACACTGGATCCTGCCCCCATTCTCAGTGCCTCATACAGGTTGGTCCCATTAGCTGAAGTGGTCATCGATCCAAACGAATGCTCAAACAAATCCTCCTGTAGAAATAAAATGTAATTTACCATTCTTTACTCACACTTTCTGGATTGATTTATTTACCCATTTTTAATGGTCATTCTAGATTTGTGCAATGCTCGTGTTCAGTCACTATTTATTCAATAGTTTAATAATCTAATATGAAAAACCTTTTCAATTGTGCCAAACATATTTCTTAATGAATTCTAAATAAATAAATCTTTTAAAAAGTTTAAAGATACACAAATCAATGATATATCAGTCACTTTCCTTCTATATTTCTCTTCAAACTAAATTATTTAATCCAAACATCAATTGACACAATTACACAACTTAGTAGATGGCCCTTTCAGGGACTTCTACTACAACAACAAGATTGCATTTATAGAGCGCCTTTCACGTCGGGAGGACGTCCCAAGGCGCTGGACAGTTGGGTCAGGACCCGAGCAAGGGGGAAATGGTCAGGGTGAGGGGAGGGAAGGGAGGGAGCGAGGAGGGGGTAGAGAGTCGAGAGGGGAGCTGAAGGCATGGTCAAAGAGAAAGGTCTTGAGACCGGCCTTGAAGGAGGAAAGGGAGGAAGCGGCGAAGGCACTGGGTGATGGAGTTCCAGAGCCTCAGGGCTGAGAGGCTGAAGGTCCGGCCACCGATGGTAGGGCGGGGGATGTGGAGCAGACCGGAGCCGGAGGAACAGAGGGTACGGGCAGGTAGGTAGGGGATAGTAGGTCGGAGAGGTAGGAGGGAGCAAGGCCGTGAATGGCCTTGTAGGTGAGGATGAGGATCTTGAATTTGAATTCTAAACTGCAGGACAACAAAGTATTCCTTTTGAAATAGGATTCTAGCATTGGCTAGTCCTACCTGCGAATGAATGGAAGCCTGCAAGGAAGCCATCTCAGCCCCACTGACAGAGCTGGATCGAGAGAGCGTTGGAGTGTTTAATGCTGGTTCCATCACCTGGTTGCTGAACAATTTCCGCTCCTTTAGAACGAACAACATACAAATAATGAAACAATGCCAAGAGGATATAAAGGTTTTAGCAAACACAAAATAAGTACATTTTAGATGCTCCTAATGCATTTTGGGTTTATTTCTTTAATTAAACTGATTCTAATCAATTAATTAAATTTTGCTGAATACCTTCTCTTTTAATGTCTCTTGTGCAAGAGTTGCTTTTTTTCTTTCATGTTCAGCTTTCAACTTCTCCATTTCCAACTGATTTGTCAACAGTGTCTAATTCAGGAAATAGAAGAGAATGTCAATACAAAGATTCACTGTAAGATTCTGCTCCAGCTTGCATTTGATTTAACACCATTCACGTTAAGAGGCCTCCTCATAGATTTTACAAGAATCTTATTGTAAAGTGCAATGACTGCATTTCGTAGGCGAACACTTTTTCGTTTCTTACCTTTTCTCTCTTTGCGTCTTCAAGTGCCTTAGTGTATTCAGCTTTGAGATTTTCAAACTCTACATAGTGCCTAAAATAAACAAACATAACTTTTAGAATATTTTTCTTCTACTGCAGGATGTGAATAATTGCAAGATAAAGTGTTTTTTGTTTGGACTTTGCCTTTATATTTGCTTGAGATTCTCAATTCTTAATTTTTCATGATTTGCAGTCACTTATTGTACTTAACTAAATAGCAAACGTAATGATATTCGCAACAGAAAAATAGTTTTGAACACATTTTTCATCTGATTTTAGGTTGTAAATAGGCGTTGCCAGAGTAAAGGATGAAGACTACAAAACAAACACACACATACACATTATAGCCAAGCTTCCAGCTTTATGCCACTCTGTGTGATCAGTGTCTATTCTTCTCAGAAAGCAAGTAAGTATCTTTGGGTCAAACTAATCCTACAGACATAAAGACGATTATACAGTATTTAGTGGAAGTAATCAAGAAAGACAAGATGAATTATCACGAATATCCAAAGGGGGTGCTATACCAGGTACCATGAACATTATCCTAAAGAGGGCAGTAGTGTATTACTGTGTTTCTACAAACAAAGGTATATATTGACCAAAATGTCTCTAGGCTGGCATAAATCTATTTTAGGGTATACTTTTTATATAATCAACATAATTTGCAACTGGTAAGTATAAGTAGAACACAGTACATTCTGTCCCCCAAAAATCCCTTTGATAATGCCAATCCAATTACTGTTTCTACACACGTCCACACATCTCACTTGACCCTACTGTAGGAAAACAAAAACCCTGACTCACAAGTTAATCACTTGGTTCATTTATAGAAAATTCATGGCCCTCAGCTACAGCCCTCAGAATGGAATCCATGTTAAAGCTAGAATCTAATTAAGGTACACCTCCTGATTGGCTCCCATTAGCGCCTCCACACCTCAGGCACTGACAGCATCACCTTGCTAAGCCAGTCTGGAACCTTGGCGTCTTGTCTGACCCTCAACTATCCTTTCTACCCCATATCTGCGCCATGTCCCGCTCTGCCTTCCTCCACCACCGCAACATCGCCCAGCTCCGCCACTGTCCCACACCGCAGGCCACCAAGACCCTCATACTAGCATTCATAACATCCAGGTTCAACTACGCAAACTCCCTGTTTGTTGGCCTCTCCCTCCATAGGCTGCAGATCATCCAGAATTCTGCAGCCCATGTCCTCTCTCGCACCAGGCTGTGACCCTGTCATCCCCATCCTCGCCCCGAATCCACTGGCTTCCCATCACACAGAGGATACAGTTCAACATCCTGGTACTCAACTTCAAAGCCCCCTACGGTCTTGCTTCCCCCTACCTCTGCAACCTCCTAAACCCCTACCAACATGCCTGCTCCCTCCAGTCTGCTTCACGTCCTCTGCCTCACCCACCCCACCATTGGCGGGCAGCCTTCTTCCACTCTGCCCCCACCCTTTGGAACTCCATTCCGCAGTCCCGCCACCTCACCCCCTTCCTTGCCTCCTTCAAGACCCGTCTCAAGACCCTCCTCTTCGACATTCCTTTGGTCACCATCCTTCCCTCCCTGTCCTCCACCCTCCCCGATCCCGACCCCCAGCTTGGGTCCGAAGCACTGATTGTCGAGCGCCTTGAGACATCCTCCCAACGTGAAAGGCGCAAAACAAATGTAATTTGGTTGTTGTTGTTAATTTTTGGAGAGCATTTGATTTTGGGGTCACAACTGGATCTGCTGATTGAATAGATCTGATCTGATCCATAAGCCGTTTGATATTACTCCAATAGTAATACAAGTGCTACAGGAGCTTAGGGCTATTTTAATGGTAATTTGCTTTTTACAATCATATACAGTCATTAACCAGGCAAGTGGGGATGCGCACTAAAGACCTTATGATGATACTGTTCAGTTTATCTATATTCTTACTTCCAGCAACATATCATTATTGAGGTTTTAAACCTCTTGAAGGCTAAAGACTCGGGCACAGATCATTCCTATTGCTTCAGTACGTTCACAAAGGTTTCAGAGTAATGAGATGCATGGGTGATTTCACACAAGGTGATTTTCTTAAATTGGGACCTATGGCTTTTATTTTCTGACAACTTTGCAATGAAATGAGCAATGGCAAGCTGTTGCCATTGCTGAGTTTTATTCAACGTAAATCACAATCACAAGTTTCTGCTATGAATTACCTGTTGCTTTCATCTTCAGTTTTTTCAAGACGGACTCTCTCTGCCTCCAAGTGAGCCTGCAACCTGCTCTTATCCTGGCGTATTAAGCTGTTCTGTGACTCCAAGGAGGAGATTTGAGTTCTGATAAGAAGCAGCTCTTCTGTGACCGATCGCTCTTTCTCCATAGCAGAAGCCAGCTGGGTTTGACTGTCCGCTAAAGTGGAGGTATTAAAAAAAAGTTAGGAACAATGTTTCTGCATGGTGTGAAGATTTCTTAGGTTTCATTATCACATTTTGAATATTAAGTATATTGAACAAATCTAGACATTTCAGTACATATACTATTAAATTTTCTAACCGCAAAACTACTTTTGGCGATGAATTTAGCCCTTGCCGTACCAATTTACGAGAAATCATACATTTTGTACAACCAAAGCTATGGTTTTTAAGCAAGTACTGTCTCTTTACATGTTCCCAAGTAATTCTCACCTAGTCTGTCAGACAGATTCTTTTCTAGTTTTTCCCAGGACAATGACTGTGCCACAAAGGTGGCTTGAAGATTTTCTATCTGCCGGAGCAGAGGCTTGCTTGCAGAGGTGACGCTTTGGCTCAGCTCCTGGTTCCGATTATCTGCTTCCTGAAGCCTCTGTGTTAAATTTTAATTTAAAAAATGTTTAATAGTGTGTCTTTTGTCATATCAGCCAAGACCTAGTGTCATGTGAGAAAATATTAAACAAAGATATAATACTTAAAAATACATACTCGGCAGCTCAAGCCATTTTTTTAATGTTACTTGTATCACTGCAATTACGATAAGCATATTGTACCTGTGGTTTAGTTTATATAAAAGCTCTTTGGGGAAACAAAATATTATAGAACCAAAGCTAATTTACAAATCCACTGGACAAATCCTTTGTTTCACACTCGGTAAGCACATTTCCAAGCCAGGTATAACTCAGAAAACAGTGAAGTTCTTCTGTTCATTTGTGAACAGCACAAAACTGGCAATTAGATACTCTATATTTAACCAGGTTTACTGAAGAATAGATGTACCATTAATGTAACAGATGTGCCACATCTTAAGAGAAAACTATTCTTTAAAATATGAATATACCAGAATTCTCCTCCAGACTTTTTTTTCCTGGGATTGCTCAATTGTACGTACAAGCAAATGGAACGTGAGAAAATTAATCTCATCCATATCTAAAACATGCAAGTACCTGCTGTAATTCACCAATTTCCTGACGTAAATAATCCTCTTTCCTTCCTTGCTGTTGTTCAGCCCGTTGAAGAGCCAATCTAAGATCTGCCACCTGTGTCACAAAGAAGTTTACAGCCCCATATAAAAATGTAAAACAGGACACATATTATTTGATCAGTCCACTTATTTTTTTCCAATCTAAAAGTGTCATCGGAAAATGTGTCAAAGCTCACTTATAAAAATAGTCTTATTTCTTCAAAATAATCAGCCTGAAGTTTAACAACTAATATTAAATGCATAGAGACTATTACAGGTCTTTTAGAAAGAAAACATCCACCCGATCAGGCAGACCTTGGTTTAAAATTTCATCTGCACCTCCACTAATGCAGCTCACTGCAATTAAGCAGAGCTCAAAGCACCAATTTATTTTGTTATTGATCATAATAAAACAAATGCAAATGGAGTTTACTAAATAGTCAGTCATTAACTCTATCCCCCACTGCCTTCGCCTTGCTTCCTCCCTTTCCTCCTTCAAGGCCGGTCTCAAGACCTTTCTCTTTGACCATGCTTCCAGCTCCCCTCTCAACTCTCTACCCCCTCCTCGCCCCCTCCCTTCCCTCCCCTCACTCTGACCATTTCCCCCCTCCTCGCCCCCTTCCTTCCCTCCCCTCACCCTGACCATTTCCCCCCTCCTCGCTCCCTCCCTTCCCTCCCCTCACCCTGACCATTTCCCCCCTGCTCGAGTCCTGACCCAACTGTCCAGTGCTTTGGGACGTCCTCCCGATGTGAAAGGCGCTCTATAAATGGAATCTTGTTGTTGTTGTTATATGTATTCCATTGTACATTATTCAAAATTTTGTCCACATTAGAAAGTAATTATATCTTTTTCACATTAATATACAAGCACTGTAATATAGAAATAATAATTCTTGCATTTGATATAGCACCTTATCACTTTTTCGAGACTTCTCAAAGCACTTCACAGAATATACTATAAAATGAATTGACTGTACATTTTGTGGGCGAAACTCAAAACACCAAGCTTATTCTCACCTGAACTGCAAGTGCTTCTTGTTGCTGCCTAGCCTCCTCCTGGGCTCGCTCCAATCCCAGAGAAAGTGCTTCCTTGGTTTTCATCTCATGACTTAAAGCTGCCTCCTGGGCTTCACTGTCTTTAGCTGCATTAGCCCTGTGCAGCTCAGCTAGCTCTCTGGAACAATCAGACAACGTTACAATCCAACCTTTTTTTTAAACCAACTTCAAAATAACTCTTGCACTTCACGTAGTGCCTGCCTTTAACGTCGGAAGGACATCTCAAAGTGCTTTATAGGACTTTTAACGTAAAGCATAGAACTGTGCATTTTGTAGTTGAACGTAGAAGCTAACCAGCACAGAGCAATGCAGTGAATGTAATGCATACAATCTCTTTGTTCAATCTCTTTATTGAACACTGTGCAAACTATTGCAGTATAAAACATTATGTTTTTCTATCTCTCCCCACCCGTCACTATTTCTTTGTGCTGCAATTTCCTCTCTGCTAGATGGATTCAACACAGATAAATCCTTTCATTGGGTGTATTTCAGATATACAGAATAAATAACTTACTTGTAGGAACTGTCAAGTGCAGACTGAAGGCTGCGATTCTTTTCCTTTAGTTCATCAAAGTTTATTTCTAAGTTGCTATTCTCTTTCTCCTGTCTTTCAACCACCGCATTCAGCTTCTTGATGTTCTCCCGATGCTGTTTCTCTATATCCTCTTTCCCGTCAAGCACCTGCGGGAAAATCCCAAAGAGTTCTTGTAGTTTAATGCCACTGTCAGTGGACATATAAAAGGCAGATGCATTAAAAATAGCAAAAAAATTGGTTAACCCTTTGAAGTGCAACTTTAATCAGCGTTCCTTTACTCACAAGAGATGCACAACATTTAAATCTTTTGCTACTGCAACAAACCAATCACCAATACAAACAGTGTAAAACTAAAACAGATGTTACTCAAGATTAGAAAAGGTTTACTCTAGCCTGTTGATGTCAAGCCCCAATGCTCTTCAGAAATATTAACCTTATGAGTTGGCTATCTTCTACTTTAGTGGAGGAACTTCAGGCAATAAATCCCTCATTTCTGACCTGTTGCAAATGCTGAACTTCTTCCTCCAGCTCCTTGATCTTTTTACTTTGTTTTGTGATCAGACTCTCGTTGTCTTTCTCCTTAGCCCTCATTTTCTTTATATTGTTTGAATTCTGCAGCTGCTGTTTCGAAAGTTTCTCGCCTGAAATTATTAAAATGAAATTTTAAAACAAATGTTTGAGTGTCTACTTCAGGCTTCCCTAGTAGTTACCGTAAGATTTCTTTAAACAATAATAGACATTGGAATGAAATAAATGAAATCCCTGTGCTAATGTTATCTGTACCAAAAGACTTTTCGTAAAAATCCCAAGTTTCAAGTCCTCCTGTTTTGGACAGCACCAATTTCAATCCAAGAACAAATACCACATATTATGGCAATCCAGTCCAGCATTTGAACTAATTGCCATATCATTACATAAATTTTTGTATAATCACTAGGCACAACTCTTATTCTGGTTAATTTATCCAAGAAACAAGCCAAGAACAATGAGTATATAACCTAACCTTAAAATCAAATACAGACATTACTGTTGAATCCAAAATAGGTGCATCTAATTCCTCCCCCAATTGTTTTAGCTCAAAAGACATCTCCTTTTCAATTTAGTGTGGCAATAATACTTACATATGTTCGAGACAAAGTGAAATATATTTTAATTGTGCGCAGTTGATTATTCTTTCTCTTAGTCACGCCAACATGCAAAGTGCAATGGTAGCTTCTACCTCTTATTCTCAGTTCTAATCAGACTGAAACTCAACTGGAATGTGCCAAGGGAACATTTAGAAAGATACATTCAGTTCAGTTTCTCCATGATTGCCTGACTTTGGATTCCTATATGAAATTTTCTTGTCAATGTTCAGAAGTTTGACAACGGACAGGAGAAACTAAACAAATGTATCTTGATTGGCACCTAAACATGATACAACTTTACACTGCACATTACTTATTGATTTGCATATTTTTACTACCTTCTTCCATTAATGCATTGATCTGGTCATCTTTCTCTCGCATAAGCTCTGCTGTTTCATTGGAGTTCAGCCGAGTAGCCAGCTCTGCCCTCAAAATCTTTAATTCCTAGAAAATTTCAAATTCCACACAGAAAATTCAGCAGTTTTCAAATGACTTTTCTTTTCTGTTTTACATACACAAACATTCAAATCCGTTCAAAGATCACAAATGTTATTAAAATTCCGATTGTCAAGGAAAATATAGAATTTTTTTCAAAAAAATTAGGTCAAATATAGCTGATTTCTGAATGAAGAATAGAGAAAATGAGAATGTTAGCAACATCAATAATTTTCTTTCTTTCTTACTGTCAAGTGTTCAGGCTTGTATTTCTCTAGCGTTCCTGCAGAATCTTTCAATGTCGCATTTTACATCTTTAATGTTTAACACTTCTAATGAGAGTAACAGCTTGGTTTCATGCAGTCGCACCTCCCAGCCGATCCGACTTGCTTATTACCCCCACCTCCACCAACCGCTTCCTCCGCTTGGCTGGCTCCGGTCTCCTATCGTCCCCTACCATGGTGGCTGTGCCTTCAGCCACTACACCCCGAAACTCTGGAACTCTCTCCCTCAATCCCTCTGACTTGCCCCCTCCATCCCCACTTTCAATCCCACCTAAAAACCTTCCTTTTTGATCGTGCATACGGTCATCTCCCCCTTCCCTCTGGCTCGGGGTCAGACTCCTGCACTGTCAAGCGCCTTGGGACTCTACAAAGCGTGAAGGGCACTATATAAATGCAAGTTGCTGTTGTTGTTTTACCTTTTTAACATTGTCCCTCTCCTTGCAAGCAACCTGGGCCTTCTTTTCCGATTCTGCAATACGATTGGTGAATTCCTCTTTTATGGGGGAGATGCCGTTGGTTTCTTCCTTCAATCCAATCATCTCGCTTTATTTGTGAATAACATTCCGAAAATAGGAGGTAAAGACTTTTAATCATTTCACATCATCGCAGATTGTCATTCCACACATTAAGTGGCATTATTCTAATTACTATGTAACAGTTAAAACTAAAATGAACATTTGTGTGTTTGGTTACAGTCATTCTAGATTTCAACAGGTATTTTGCTCAGTAGGACAGTGTCAATTATCTTGTTCAACAGTGCAAGGCTACTTTTATCACTTACTCTTTCAGATTATCAATCGTCTCCTCCAATCCAGCTTTATCCTTGCTAACAGCCAAAAGTTGAATCTCTCGCTTTTCCAGCTTTTCTGTCAGTTCATCAATTATCTGTTAATGGTTACCAGGAAAACAAGAGCAGAAATAATACTTATGGCAACTTTTTCCTCATAATTCAACGTCCACTGTTGACAGTATTTGAAGCCACTTCTCGGGAATCCTCAAGTGATTCTATTCAATCTCTGTCTAATTCAACAATTAGTTAAAAACTGGTTTCTCGAGAAATATGGTCTAAACATAGTCCTTTAAATGATAATCAAAATTTTTTGTAGTTGACATAGCCTTTTCACATTAAAATGCCCCAAAGCGCTTCATATCTTTGATGTAAAATGTAAGGACTATATATTTTGTAGGCAAATGTAGCAGCCAATTTATGCACAGCAATGATGCACAAACAACCGTGAAGCAAATCACGGCACCGTAGACAAGCGTTGGATTATGAACTCAAAGTCCCGATGTGGGGCTTAAATTCACAATCTTCTTACAGAGGTGCTACCAACTGAGTGCGGCTAACGCCGAATACAGAGTTTCTACTGTAACTGGGAGTTCATCGATATGGTCTCACCCCCTTACAAACTTTCACAAATGTTATTATTAAAATAACAGAATATTAAACTCAAGCATATGTGGGTTGTTAACTTGTGTGTACTGACAAATAAACTATTTCCAGATTAATGGTTAATAAAAGCAAACAGACCAGTAAGGTCTCAGGTTTGATCTCCAGTCTGGATTGGGTTAACTGATCTCTGCTAAGCCAGTACTAGGTCTGTTCAAGGTGACCTCATTATATTGCAAGTAAATGTCAGCAGAAACCTACAAAGAAACTGGGGAACTATGTTCGAGTGAAGAGCAAGTCTAGATTAAAACAGCTGTGTGAGAAGAGAGAGAAAGAATAATTGGAGGAATTCTGGATCTTAAATGGAAACATAGATGAAACACTAGACTCCAAAGATGCGAGTTCAAAGATAATTTATTTCATAGCCGTTGCAGCTTTGCTTGCAACCAAAGGATCCAATATGGAATGTAGATTGACACAGTCTCTCTCTCTATGTCTGTCTCAGTCTCCCTCTCTCTAGCTCAGTCTCTCTGTTTTTCTCTTTCCCAGTCTCTCTCTCCTAGTTTCTCTCCCTCTCACACTCTCTGTCTGTCTCTCTCAAACTGTCACTCTCTGTCTTTCTCTCTCTCCCACAAAACTCACAATCACTACACTTGATAATATATTGTTTGTCAGTCATTCTCTCTCTCTCTCACTATCTCAGTCTCTCTCTCACGATCTCAGTCTCTCTCTCTCTCTGTCTGACATGGGAGGACTCGAGTTCCAACGACAACCAGAAAGAACTGCCTTACATTTGTTGCAGAATATAGATGCATCTTTCTGAATGGTGTGTGCGTTCCTCTTTTGCTACGTAAATGCAGAATTCAATGCATACCTCATATTTTGGGGATAATTAAAGCATTTTTTAATACAGCTCATCAACGATAGGAGATTCGCCGCCAAAACATACGCCCAAGACAGTGCCAGATACAAGACCTTTCCGATGAGGCAGAAATCATGTCTCTACAACAATCGGTTATCGCGTGATTGTCGGATACACTGACGTACAGACAGACATTTCGTCTTTATTAGTATAGATTAATGTAGCCTCAGTGTAAAAGATTTACCTTTTGCAATTGAAGCTTCTCAAATTGGCCATTTGTCTGGCATTCAACTTCCGCAATTGCTGATGGCGGCTCGTCGATTATTTCAGCTTCCGTATTTTGGTTTTCATTCACTGTTAGAACAGGTACAAGCAAGACCTCGGGCTGCTCACTGTTAACTGGAGTTGCGCTTCGTCCACTCTCCTCCATTTCCGTTTCTGTTTCATCAAATACGATCTCTTTCAGCATCTCATTTGTGCTCTCTTCCACATCGCCCACTGGCTGCTCAGTTGGTTCTGAATTAGAAGCAGACTGTCCTCCAGACCCTGATGCCAGGTTACAGCCCCGGCCGGGCATGTCATCGTCCGAATTAATTTCACTCACACTCCGGCTGTCCAAAGACTGCACGCTGAAGGCATCGATTCTCTCAAAAGCATCCGAAGAGCTGGAGCTTTCAGTAAGTTTCTGATACTCGTCAAGGCGCTGATAGTCATTGCAGGCAGAGGTTGATAATAACTGAAAAGATGTCTGCATAAGGTGCAGGCTGGCTTTCGAATCCGCAGCCTCCTGTCTAGAACTTGCTGAGCTTTCACTAAGCACACTCTCGTGATCCAGCACCTCAATGTCACTGGTTGTTGAGGTTCCAGAGGAAAATGTACTGATGGGGGGAGAGGGAGTGTTACTTTGCCTGTCCTCTGATTTGGGCTCTTTTCCCTCCAAAACTACAGGAGGGGTGCTGGGTTTTGATGGGCTGTCAGGCAAGCTCTCTGAATGTTCATTTTTTTCAGTGTTATCAGTCATTTTTTCTCCCGTAGAATCAGCTAATGTACCAGAAGCCAAACTGTCAGACTCATTTTCTGTTGCTTCACCTAGTTTTTCATCCTCCTTGTTCCTCACCTCCTTTTTACTTGTACAAGATTCTGAGCTTTCTGAGGTTACGCTTGGCAACTGGCTAACAATGAGGTCATTGGACTCTTTTAACTCAATGTCATCTATTTCAAGTGCCTCTGAGCTCTCATCTTCTGAGTATGGCTTTTCTGGTACACTTAATTCAATGGATTCACTGGGCTTTGCAGTCAATGTGCCTTTTACCTCTTTGGGCAGCTGTGACTTGGCTGGAGGTTTAGAGACCACTGGAGTATTCTGAAGAGTTTGGATGTCAGCAGATAATAGAAAGGCACTGAAGAAGTTCTCTGATTCATCCACCACAGTTCGTGTAACTGGTGTGGTGATGGCTTTTAGTGAATCTTCAGAACAGGGATTGGGGCTGTTCTCTATAGGGGTTCCCCACTGGGTGGAAACCCATCCTCCGCTGATGGAGGAACTCTTGACTAGTAATGCTGTTGCAATTGAAAACACAAAATGATTAAAGTTGTTGATGAAGTGAATAAAATCGATTCAGTTTTCTATGTTAATTTCAAAGCAAATGACTGAACATCAAACATTAACTTCATTACCAAAAGGCTCTCTCTTAGACATCACGGATCATCATAAACTATCACAAATAAGGAATTAATGTTCATTCAAAACACTAAGTTTACAATGACTTATATGTTCCCTGTATTCCACCGATGACATTTCAGTCATCAGGATTAAGTGGAACATTACTCAAACATAACGAGACCCAATATCTGCAAATCCTGGAATGAAACCCAAAACACCTCTCATGTGATACTTGTCAGTTCATTTTCTTTCTTCTATTTCACTATAAAAACAACTTATACAAATAAAACGAGAAAACAATTTCACATAAATGGAATTTGTGGGAAAAATTGGAAAAGAAGTGAGGTCAGCTGCTTTTTAAACTGCTTTTAAAACTAACTTTCAAGCCCATTTAAAAAAAAACACTCCTGCTTTAAGACATATTTGAACGATCTTAAATGTGACTTTTTGGGGGTTTTGTAAATTAAGTGCCAGTAGACTCAGCCACTACCTCATTTCCGTTAGTTTAATCACAATGGGCCTTTCTGCCTCTGAGTATAAAGAGTTTATTTTCCAACCATAAGGTTTTTTCTCACCAAAGACCACAAACCCTGGTGAGTTTCAGGGAGCCATACAAACAGTACCATTCAGCAGTTTGCATACTGCTTGTAAACAAATTTCTTTCGATGCATTACTGCCATAAACTTTTCCATGTTTGTCTGGATTTAGATTACGTTTTATTAAAAAATGGGACACAATTTTTCAAAGAATTCTCACTGTCCAGGCTCACACATCAAGAACAGTTCTATTTGGATATTGTTCCATTTGTTTAGATGGACTGTTAGTGTATATTTCAAGGGACTGAAGTTTGTAAGCTAACACTCTGGACAATAACTATAGGTAATGATGAAATTAAGTTGATTTGGAAGAAAATGGCAAAGCTGTAATTTAAAGGAGTGAACTGTATTGCTGTAATCTGTTGCAGCAGCATTTACAAAACTCACTGCACTTAAAAAGCTAATAAGCTTTCCTTTTCATACTTAAATGGCATGACACTCTCAGACTGCTTATTTAATGCACTTATCAATTCAGGCAAATCCAAGCTTGAACATTACAACCGACTGTTAGCTGCAACCAGAGTCAGAGGCTGAATGCATGGCAGCACAGACGATGACAGATCTATCAAGTCAGAGGCTGACAGTGACCTGAAGGTAAACAGAGTTAGAGGGAATGTCCAGGGTGTCCTAACCCTAATTCAAATCCAGAGTAACACAGTTAACATTCAGGCCATTGTGACTGAACCGTTCGGATTTTTCAAATATATGTAAAAGTAAGAGTTAACAAGATTTGCACTGTAAACTACTGAGATCATTTTTAAGATTGGACAAAATAATTGATAGTGGAATCAGAAGCTGAAATGGATGGCAGATGAGATTCGGACGATGAAGCTGATGGCGCAGATTGAGGAATCTGATCATTATAACTATGGACAAACAAACTGATACATGTGTGTCCTGATTGATCACTGTGACTACTGACTGCCAAATCCACTTGTTATTTTCTTTGCTGTCATAATGTAATTAAAGTTTCAAAATACAGAGATCATCTTTCCACACAGATCTTTCAGCATGTGTCACTTTGAACCAATTCTCAAGTAGCCTGTAAATCAAATATATCACTGTAGCACACATCAACTCAAATTGCTCCTCAATTATCCTATATAAAGCTCAGTGGTTAGAGCACCCGCCTCGATTCCTGGTAGGGCAAGTCCTTGGCCAAGTTTCCTTACTCCACACACCTGATAATAATCCCGCAATAAATAAATAATAATAATTTGGTCACTCAATCCATGACTGTTTGTGAGACACTGCTGTGCGCAATTGGTTGCCACGTTTCACCCACAAATATACAGTCAACTCATTTACGGTATACAATAATGCACTTCACAGAATACAGTATATTCTGAAGCACTTTGAGACATCTAGAATACTGGAAAAGTGCTATATCAAATGCGCCATCAGCATATTATGAAAATAATAATAATTATTAGCTCTCTTATAAAAAGGTCTCTTATAAGCAGCCGTGGTTCAGAAGGGCTAAAGCTAAAATTGTTTTACTCGTCATAATCCATAGTTTAAGAAGACATTAAGAAAATGTCACAAACCCGTCATTATGTTTTAATAAAATTCAAGTGGGGGTGGAAGGTGTGGGGTGGGCGGGGGGTGGGAGCCTGCAATGCAACTGCACAGAACTTTCACAAGCCAAAGTTTTCCTGAAGTCTTGAATGACAACGCAGGCGCAAAATAAGAGTTTTCTTTTGTTGGGGGGCAATTCGGGAGAAGGAACTTGCAATAATATAGATAACAAATGTTGGGAAACTGGAGGAAAATCCAGGGAAACTGCGTACAAATTATGTGTCGATAATAATAATCCTTGGGTTTGATACAGCGCCTTATCGCGTCTTCGAGACTTTCAAAGCGCTTCACAGAACACACTGTAAAGTGAATTGAGCGTATATTTTGTGGGCAAAGTGCGGCAGCCAATCGCGCCCAACAATGTCCCACAAACAGTCGTAGATTGAAGTGACCAATTTTTTTTTAAAAAAAGGAATTGTTAGTGCCGGACAAGTGATTCGCCAATCGACTAACAACCGGTTCCTTACGGACTGCGGCGTAAACAGCGGCGCGTGGAGTGCGGAAACTCGCCCAACGTTTGGCTCTGCCGGGAATCAAACGCACGCGAGGCGCGCGCTCCAACCACAGCGCTACGGGTTCGCCACGATCACAAAACCCTACACATTACAGTATACAAATGATAACAAATAATAATAATAATAATAATAATAATCACTGCATTTGACACAGCCGCCGATCACCTGTTCCGGACGTCCCCGGAATTTACCGCAAAGTGAGTCGACTGTGAGGTTTTGTGGGCGAAAGGGCGGCACCGATCGTCCGCACAAACAGTCGCGGGTTCAAAGTGACCAAATTATTCTCATCATCTCATCATCTCATCATCAAAATATAATTTGACCTCCGCTCCGCCCGTCAGACAACGCCGAAGAAAGACTCAGACAAACAGTGATAAACGTCAGCGGACACTCCGCTCACGTACCTTCCTCATACCCCGGCGTTATGCTGTGGGCCCACGAGTCCCCCTCGTCCTCCTGGATGTCCAGGACCCGGTCGATGGATTTCTGGGCCTGTGACAGCGCCTGTTTGGCGAAGCTCGACAGGTGCGAGGCGTTGAACCAACTCATTGTCGCCTGTGTGGGGGTGTGTGTGTGGGGGTGTGTGGGGGGCAGTCAAGCGCCGATCCCGAGGCTGTCAGAGGCCTCCGGGCCTGAGCCAAGCGTTTGTTTGTTTGTTGTTGTGGCGAACGACTGACCGACTGACCCTCCCCCCGGTGACCCCGCCTCCCAACCCCCACCCCACACCCCCGCCGGACCGCAGCCTTCCGCTCCCTCAGCCTCAGTGGGATCAATAGGAAGGAGGAGCGGAAGGGAACCCCCCGGACGACTCGTGCCGAGTAACCGAGCGAGTGACCCGAGTCCCGACCTCCTCACTCTCTCTGACTCACTCTCACTCTCTCTCTCTCCGGCTTCTCCTCCACGTAGCAGCCGTGACGTAAATGGCCCAATCTTACCCCCACTCACTTCCCGGCGTCCCCTCTCCACCGCCTCTGCCCCACCTCCCAGCATCCCCCACGTGCCACTCTGCCCCACCTCCCAGCATCCCCCACGTGCCACTCTGCCCCACCTCCCAGCCTTCCCCTCGCGCTACCGCGCAGTGTGCCCTGCCCAGCGGCTCCCGGCGTCCCACTCGAGTCATTGCCCCGTCTCCCAGTATACCCCGCCCTCGGGCTTCTGCCCCTCCTCCCCCCCTCCAACACCCGGCATTCCCCCCAATCGCCTCTGCCCCACTTCCCATCGTCCCCCTTCAGCGCCTCTGCCTCACCTCCCAGCGTCCCTCTCGCGCCTCCGCCCCCACCCACCCACTTCCCAGGATGTCCCGCCCCCCAGGTCCATGTCTACTCTATGTCGTCACTGTCTCATCAGCATATTTCCCATCCCAAGATCCTCTGCTTCCACCCTCTCCGCGAATTGGAGATTAAAAAAAAACTATGGAAGAAAAAAAACTGCAGTTTTATTTCGTTTTATCGCCGAAACCGCCGTTATTGTTTCATGTTCCACGTTATTATTTGGGGCTCACCCCTCATGGGCGAGTGCTTCAATGGTTGGCAAGGGGAACTGGGGAACAAGCACTCACGGTAAGTGTAAGGGGGGCGGCAGAGATAGAGTTGTGTGTCGGTCCTGCTCCTCCCCAGCTTTGCGCAGTGGCAGTATCGTAGCCGATGAGGTCTAACCGAGGCGCGATTATTGCTTATTGAAAACTTTTCCCAATACCCCGCCGTGACGACTTGAAATATAGTCGGCATTGGCAATTTTTGACAGTCTCTGCGGAGACTGACTTTTCCAATACAAAAAACAGATGAATCTCTTTTCTTTTTCTATCGTTCTTCGTAGTGATCAGTGCGATGTGTGTGTCTACATATATATACATATATATACGCAATCGCTGTTTAAGAAACGTTAGTGATTTTTTAAGTGGATGTGATCCGATGTACCTAATGCGAAGAACAGATCGCCCGTTTCCGGCCTTGTGATGTCCGTCGGTCGATCTGCTTCTTCTCTGGGGGTGTAATGAATCCCTCCAACCGAATGGTAACGTGTGTCGCTCAATGTGTGGGACTCCGCTGTCGCGTTTCACCCGCAAAAAGTATGCAGTCGATTAACTTCACAGTGTACTCTGTGAAGCGCTTTCTGAGGCGTCTCGAAGACGTGATAAGGCGCTGTATCAAATGCCAGGATTATTATTATTATTATGGCGTAGGGGCAGACTTTCGGTGATGCTTGAGGACCGGCAGGCGAGGAGGTTTGGAGTATCAACTCAACAGCTCCCCCTTCACCCCGGGAGCGTCTACGGATAATCCCTTCACAAATAAATAATAACCGAAAAATAATGCGGCCGCTCAGTCGACCGCTGCTTGTGGGACGCTGCAGTGCGCAAATGGCTGCCGCGCCTCGTCCACAAAATATACCGTCGCTGCATTTTACAGGGCATTCTGTGAAGCGCTTTGAAACGTCTCAACAACGTGACCAGGCACTATATCAAATGCCAGCGTTCTTATTCTTATTCTCCCGATCAGCCCTTCTATCCCACCACACTCCTCCTCGTCTTCTCTCTCTCTCTCTCTCTCCTGTACCCCATTAGTTACTGCCTTTCTCGGTTCCAAGGTTGTCTTGGCGAAAGGTTGTTTCGCCCATAAAATATATAGTCAATTCACTTTACTGTATAAACAAAACGTAAAATACTGCAGATGCTGGAAATCTGCAGTATTTTGCGAAGGTCTGTGGACCCGAAATGTTGACTCACTTTCCTTTCTCCGTAGATGCTGCCTGACCCGCTGAGTGTTCCCAGCGACTACTGTTTTTGTTTCACTTTACAGTCTATTCTGTGAAACGCTTTGAGATGTCTCGAAGATGTGAAAAGGCACTATATCAAATGCAAGGATTATTATTATTATAATTCGTCCCAAAGCAACTGCCCCATCGCCCACTCTTCCCGACACAGCCACCTCCCCCACCTCCAAAAGGTAAATACCCCTTTTGCTCATCCACATCCTCACCCTTCCCAACTCCCCCCCCCCCCCCCTCACCCCCACCCTCCGCGGTCAATTTTCCTCCAGAGCCTAAAACCCTCCCTCTGAAGCCCTCCTCTATCACTCGCATTTCTCCCTAAAATATCCACTCCCTCTCAAATAAAACCCTAACGATCATCCTGAACGAGAATATCGACATCGGGAGAGCATTCCACGGTACCAGACCTCCCTCTACTTCAAAATCCTCCTTATTTATCGTCCTCCCTAACTGCCTGGTTGCTTCATCCCTGACATCTCCTCCCTTTCCTCATCCCTCTGGACAGAACACCTGATCATAATGGGTAATTTCAACCTCCACCTAAACTCCCCGTGCCCCATCTCTTCTAACTTCACTGCTCTCCTCTCCACACTAAACCTCACCCTACACAAACTTCCCCGACCCACAATCGTGGCCGCCACCTCGACCTCATTATCACTCACGACCTTAACATTTGCGACCTGTCCATCACAGACAACGCCATGTCAGACCATTTCCTCATCTCCTTCCACTCCCACATCCCACTCCCCTCTTCCAAACCCTCCACCATCTTTTTCCGACCTTGGAAGAAGCTTCCATCCCAGTCTCTCATGAACACCCTTGCTTCCTCAGATCTATTCTTCCCCTGGACTTCCACCCCTGCCCCCTGAAATCCAGATCTGTCTCCAAATGTACCCACTCCCCTGGTATAACTGTCACCTCCGTTGCCTCAAAACTGCTCGAGCGCAGATGGCACAAATCCAGCCTCACAATCAACCGCCAACTGTGGCTCGAGGATCTCCGCAACTATTACCTCTCCCTCTCGTAGGCCAACACTGCCTTTTATTCCAAAACCGTTTTGGAGACCTAAAACAATCCAAAACCACTGTTCTCCACCTCCTCCGTGCACCCCTGTGCCCCCACCCGCAATCTGCTTCCATCTTCACTTCAAATGCCAAGTGCAAAGAGGTCCTAGACTTCTTTGCGTCAAAGATTGAAATCCGCTTGGCTGCATCCTCCTCTCCTACGACCTCCCTCACCACCAGACCATCTACACCACCCTTTCCTTCCACCTTGGCCCATACCTCTCACAGTTTTCTATACTCCTTTGCCCCGATTGCTTCCCCTTCCCTCTCAACCACCCAGATGAAGCCCACCACCTGTTGTCTTGATCCCCTATCCATCCAGCTGCTGGTCACCCAACTGCCTCTCATCTTCCTGGATCTCTCCCTGCTGCTGGCTCACACAGTAAATAAGTCGCTCTCCTCAGGTTCTGTTCCTCTTAAAACTGCTGCCATCACTCCCCTCCTCAAAATACACACCGTTGACCCCTCAAATCTTACAAATTACCATTCCATTTTGAACCTGCCCTTTGTTGTCAAAGCTCTGGAATGCATTGTCGCTTACCAGCTTTGCTCATATCTATCCCTCCATTCCCTCCTTGAGCCTCTCCAGTCTGGTTTCCGCCCTGCCCATAGCACAGAGACAGCACCTGAACCTGTCCACGCTCCCCACTGAGAGAGGAGGGATAGGGAGGGGCGTACAAGACCCCATTTGTAACTGCGCCCTACAAAGGGCGGTAGAACCCCGAGGCAGGGAAGCCTTGGTCCTTTCACCAAAGTGGAGTGCGCAGAGGAAACCCCGCCTCAACCACAAGGGTGAGTCTGTTGCATCCTGCAATGAGATAATAACATGTTGCGTCTTCTTTCTGTAATGGGTTTGATACTGTCTGAGACAAGCGTAAATATATATCAACAAATAACTAGATATAATTTGTTTTAAAAAATTTGACAAGGTCACTAACGGCGTCCTCTCTCTCTGTGACCAGGGATGGCTCTGCCTCTCGTCTTCCTGGACCTCTCCACTGTGTTCCACACAATCGACTTTGTCAGCCTCATCCACCGCCTCTCCTCCCTCATCCACCCTAGTGAGACCTTCCCCATCTTCAGGTTGTGTCTGAAAACCTTTGACGGTGACTACGGTCATCTTCCCCCTCCCCCTGTTGTTGAATAATCAGTGTTTTTGTTTGCACTCTTAGCTGGTTTACATTGCCGGTGTGATTTAGTCACACTTTTTTTGTAGTTTACATTGCTATTCCATTGCGATTAATTAATGTAATTGACATAATATTGACATAATATGTGATATTGCCAATTGTTTGGCAGGAAAAGGTGTTGTAGGGACTTACCCAGTTTTTCCACTACAGGACGAAGAAAATGATCAAAACCAACAGTTAGTGTTTATTATTATTAAAGATTATTATTATTAAAGATTATTATTATTATTAGATGCAAAGATTATTATTATTATTACTATTAGTATTATTATTAAGTGTTTAGAGTCGGGGAGCGGCGGCAGGACAGCGCGGGGAGGAGCCTGGGCCTACTGACCCAGGTACTTAAACTCGACGCCGGAGCGAGTTCAGCCCCGGAGGGGAGGGGTGGGGACGGAGCGGGGGAACTGCGACGTCATAGATTAGTTTTCAGGTACGTGCGCGCGCACAAAAAAAAAACAAAAAAAAAACCTCTGCGCCCCCCCCCACCCCCCAGGGCTCACATCAGAGCCCACTATGGTCCTGTTGGGTTCGCTGCCCCAATCTACGGGATAATGCCATCCACCTGACCGCTCGCTCCCGGTCCCCGCGTGCGCACTATGGCTGCCGCTTTGACCCGAGCCCCCTCACCCCCTCCCTCCCACCCCCCTCCTCTCTCCCCCCAAACCCTCCCCCCT